AGGCGGATCCGGATCAGTCGTCCATCCAAGGTGCGTTGTATAGTGACGCATTTGGTTGGATGAGCTCCTAAATAAATAAGAAAAAATCAATCAATCAGCTGTCTAAATATATGTCTATCTGTGTATATTTGAAAATTGCTGTGGTAGCAGCTGTCTAAATATCTGTTTATCTGTATACGTTTGAACCTGCTGTGGTAACAGCTGTCTAAATATCTGTCTTTCTGTATATGTTTGAACCTGCTGTGGTAACAGCTGTCTAAATATCTGTCTATCTGTATATATTTGAAAATTGCTGTGGTAGAAGCTGTCTAAATATATGTCTTTCTGTATATGTTTGAACCTGCTGTGGTAACAGCTGTCTAAATATCTGTCTATCTCTATATGTTTGAACCTGCTGTGATAACAGCTGTCTAAATATCTGTTTATCTGTATATATTTGAACCTGCTGTGATAACATCTGTCTATCTGTATATGTCTTAACCTGCTGTGGTAACAGCTGTCTAAATATCTGTCTATCTGTATATGTCTTAACCTGCTGTGGTAACAACTGTCTAAATATCTGTCTATCTGTATATATCTTAACCTGCTGTGGTAACAGCTGTCTAAATATCTGTCTATCTGTATATATCTTAACCAGTTGTGGTAACAGCTGTCTAAATATTTGTCTATCTGTATATATCTTAACCTGCTGTGGTAACAGCTGTCTAAATATCTGTCTATCTGTATATGTCTTAACCTGCTGTGGTAACAGCTGTCTAAATAGCTGTCTATATGTATATATCTTAACCTGCTGTGGTAACAGCTGTCTAAATATTTGTCTATCTGTATATATCTTAACATGCTGTGGTAACAGCTGTCTAAATATCTGTCTATCTGTATATGTCTGAACCTGCAGTGGTAACAGCTGTAATGAGAGCATCAAGTTCATCTCGTTTCTCTTTAAGTTTCTTGACAAGGGATTCTATAGCACGTTTACTAAAGCTCTCACTCTCTCCTCCTTGTCTAAATAGATGAATAGATTGACATAAATAGATTCACAAATAGATATCTAGATAGATAAACATAAATAGATTCACAAATAGATATCTAGATAGATAAACATAAATAGATTCACAAATAGATATCAAGAAAGATAAACATAAATAGATTCACAAATAGATATCTAGATAGACAAAACATAAATAGATTCACAAATAGATATCTAGATAGATAAACATAATTATACAAACAGTGGGAATCGGATAGATAGATAAATAGAAAGAAATATATAGCCAGACAGAAAATAGATAGCGAAGTAAAAATAAATAAAATGAAATATTGAAAGATGTATCGATTGTGAAAAGTGATGGATAGAATTAGATTTATTGCCGGATAGATATATTTAATATTTATTGATGGTCATTGGTCATAAAAGAATTATCTCTCTCTTCCCCCCCCACCCCCCACCCCTCCTCTCCGGGGAAATGTTTTAATGTGCTGGGGAGAGGGGGGGGGGGCATAACATGAAAAAAATGGACATTAACTGACAAGTTCTTCCGCCCTTTTTGATAACTCCTCGGCCAAAAATCATTTATTTTCCCTAGTTCAGCGGATATTTAAACCTTAGAACATCGAGGGATTTTTTTTAATCGGGGAAGGGGAGATTTTTCATGAAAATATATTCCCCTGTTTTTACCACATAAACATTTCTAAAGAAAATGAGTTGCATTAACAAGAAAGTTGTATATTTTGCAAGAAATAATCCAGGATACTTTCATTCTTTCTTTCTTTTCTTTTACCTGACTCCAGTATGGTGGTTGCTGTCTGTGTTTCCCGGGGGCGGAGCCCCGTTTGGGTGCCCGCCCACTGGCTGAGGGTGGGGGGAGGGAGGGGCACCTGGAGGACCTGGTAGCCCGTCTAAAGAAGGTGGAGGCCAACCAAGAGGGGGTCCAGGGGGAGGGAGCAATGCAAGATCCCTCTCCATATCCAGACAACCCCAGACACCTTCATCCTCCTTCAACAGACCATGGTAGCCCTGGACATGTTTCAAATTTTAGTACTTTAAAACAAAAAAAATTAAAAATCAGCAAAAATTTGCAAATTTGCAAAAATTTAAATTTTTGTTTCAAAATTGAGTTATTAAGTAAAAATGTTCGCAAAAAAAAAATACAAAAGATGTTAAAAAATACATGATTGAAAAGCCATTGAAAATGCTATTTCAAATATGCAAAAAAGTTTTGCAAAATTTTAAACACCCTAAAGTGCAATTAAGAAAAACTTAAAATGTGCAAATTTCTTTAGGTGGGTTGTATGCAAATAATTTGCAAACATTTCTTTGCAATACTTATGCAATCCGTTTCCTTATGTCACAGGCTTTCAAAAAAGCTAAAATTTATCAAAATATGACAACTGTAACTAGGTCAAAACAAAGATTTAGTTTGTTACAGGAAAAAGTAGTCATTCAAAGGGAGGGCTAAGGGTATTTAGGAAAAGTCAGAAAATTTCACAAAAACTAAAGGGGGGAAAGGTGAGGGGGTAAAATTGAACCCCCCCCCCCCTCAGTAGGAATAGGAACATGTAAATTTTAGAAAATCTACCCAACGCGGTGAGATGGTTAGATTCTGATATAAGTAAAAAAAATTGAACTAATTTGAGAGTTCAGATTTTTTGGTTATAAAAAACATTCATAATTATTTCTTAGAGAATTAGAATTGTTTGTATATATTCTGAATTGGAAAAGTCTAATGAATGTTGAGAATAAATATTCTGAAATAATTGGCAAAATAACTAGTGAGGTATGTAATTATAAGCATAGTTGCATGAATACTTGTATATTGTATAAGTTTGTTTAGGAAACTAGGTCAAACCAATAATTTGCAACTTTTACTTTATATACTGGATCCATTTCATTTTCAGGCGGATCCGGATCCAGTTCATTAACATTTCTTCAATATATTCATTTTTATTTAACAAAAGAAGAATTTTCAAATTATTTTTCTTCTTTATTTTTTGTTTATTTTTATGCATAAACCATTCAGAGAGAATTTTTCAATAATCCCTCTTTCTCTTTTTGAGAACAATTTTTATTAGTTTTTGGGTGGGACATTTCTTTGAATTAATAATTGAATTACGGAAATGAATGTAAGTTGTTCAAATATGTAAGTTTTTGCTGATGTAATGAGAAATTAATTACAAAAATATTGAATCAGCAAATATTTTCCAGAGCCTTTAAAAATGTCGACTTATTATATGACAAAATGAAATCGAAACCAATTTTTCCATAAATTTTTCTCAACGGGGCAGATAAAGTTAGGAAATCAGGAGAAGCATGCATATTGTAAAATGTGTATTGTAAAATATATAGTTAGGAAATCAGGAGAAGCATGAATATTGTAAAATGTGTATTGTAAAATATATAGTTAGGAAATCAGGAGAAGCATGTATATTGTAAAATGTGTATTGTAAAAAATATTCTCCATTTTCCGTTGCTCCACATAAAGTGTAAGGATCAAGAGCCATTTTCGAATAGGGAGTCATTGTTCCCTTGCTTGCCCCTGACTCTTAAAAAAGACATTAAAAAAAGCAAAAACAGACAAGATTTGTTCTTAAATATATTCCACCTGTGACATCTTACGACCACTATATTTATGATACCATGATTATGTCTAGTACAGTCCATGAAAAAATAGCTAAAGTACTCTGCGTTGCCCGTGGAATTAAAAAAAAATTTGAAAAAAAATCGATTTTTAAGACTAACTTTTTTTAGCCAAATTGGTACAGCCGTTTGGCTAATATATAATATATATATATAATAGCTAATATATTTATATCTATATATATATATATATATATATATATATATATATATATATATATAGCATTTTATTGATATTTTTGGGATATTTTTTTGATATTTTTTTTGATGTTTTCAATTGTTTGTTATTTTTTTGATGTTTTCAATTGTTTGTTATCTATATATTATATTTATAGCTTGTCCAATTTATCTGTTGGATATTAAATTACAAGTATTGTCCTGCTCTTCTTGGTCCTTTTTACCCAAAACTTTCTTTATGAAAGAATGATTTTAAAGAAATTGTTTACTCCTGAAATTAACCAAATTATATCATGTGAACAAATACCGGTGAAATATCTTTTTTGTTTTGTTAATGTTTGACATCTTTAAAACACACTTTATCATTAAAACACATTTTATCTTTAAAACACATTTTATCTTTAAACACATTTTATCTTTAAAACACATTTTATCTTTAAAACATATTTTATCTTTAAAACACATTTTATCTTTAAAACACATTTTATCTTTAAAAAACACTTTTTCTTTAAAACACATTTTATCTGCAAAACACACTTTATCTTAAAATAAAACACATTTTATCTTTAAAACACATTTTATCTTTAAAACACACTTTATCTTTAAAAGACATTTTATCTTTAAAACAAATTTTATCTTTAAAACACACTTTATCTTTAAAAGACATTTTATCTTTAAAACACTTTTTATCTTTAAAACACACTTTATCTTAAAAAGACATTTTATCTTTAAAACACATTTTATCTTTAAAACACACTTTATCTTTAAAACACATTTTATCTTTAAACACATTTTATCTTTATAACACATTTTATCTTTAAAACACATTTTATCTTTAAAACAAATTTTATCTTTAAAACACATTTTATCTTTTTCATCTTTAAAACACATTTTATCTTTAAAACACATTTTATCTTTAAAACACATTTTATCTTTTTTATCTTTAAAACACATTTTATCTTTAAAACACATTTTATCTTTAAAACACAATTTATCTTTAAAACACATTTTATCTTTAAAACACATTTTATCTTTAAAACACTTTTATCTTTAAAACAAATTTTATATTTAAAACACATGTTATATTTAAAACACATTTTATCTTTAAAACACATTTTATCTTTATAAAACATTTTATATTTAAAACAAATTTTATCTTTAAAACACATTTTATCTTTAAAACAAATTTTATCTTTAAAACACATTTTATCTTTTTCATCTTTAGAACACATTTTATCTTTAAAACACATTTTATCTTTTTTATCTTTAAAACACATTTTATCTTTAAAACACAATTTATCTTTGAAACACATTTTATCTTTAAAACACATTTTATCTTTAAAACACATTTTATCTTTAGGACACATTTTATCTTTAAAACACATTTTTTCTTTAAAACACATTTTATCTTTAGAACACATTATATCTTTAAAACACATTTTATCTTTAGGACACATTTATTCTTTAAAACACATTTTATCTTTAAAACACATTTTTTGATCCCGAAACTAACCTGAAGGTCGGACTGAAGACTTATCACACAAACACAGCGAGGGAAGAACCCTGAAAACAAAATGAATATAAAAACTATTGAGAGATATAAAAGTTATAAACTTAAAGAGTGATCTAAACCACAGCAAGTATTTTGTATCATTGAATATTCACAACTGTACCCTTTACAGTTTTTACTGGTCAATTATGAATTAGATATATCATCAATATAGATATTTTTGTTTATAATTTTACAAAATTGTGATTTCTCTAAAAAGTGACTTGCGCATTTCTTCAGCGGGAAAACACAAGGAATATAGATAATTAAACACTTTTAAAATCTAAGTGAACGACATTATTATTTGATAAAATTTTCGAGGGTACCGTTGTGAATCGGGCATTGTCATCTTTTAATTAAGGATCACTTGAAATAATGAAATTACGCTTACAGTCCTTTAAACGTCCAGAGATCCCCCCATAGACCACAACAGGGAGTTCATCAAATTGTATTATAATGGGAATACAGACGTCGTTATAATTGTGTTAAATTATGAAAATTTCCTTATTTGTCTATGCAGCTTAAATCCGACAGTTACTTTAATAAAGAGACAACAAATGAAATAACTCAATTTTCCTGTAAATAGCTTAGGATATCTCATTCAATTTTACTTTAAAACAAAGGTTTAAAGGGTACCGTTGTGAATCGCACATGTCACTCATTAAAAGCATAGGTAATTGAAATTTAAAAAAATGGCTTTAGAATAGTTAGAATATAATACTCTTGTCGGTTTTACTTCACATTCCACAATATATCAATCATATAACTGCAAGCTTTGCCAACTTGATAAAACTAATGTAAATTCTCATATTTAAAAAATTAAAATAATTGGAGTGTGAACCATATCATGATATGGCCTAATTATTAACTTCATTTCGTTTCATTCAATTTTTCTTAATCACGATCAATCGAGTTACAAAAAATGTATAATAAAAAGATTTTAAGTTCGATGACAGTTCTAAAAGATGACTTTTGGATAAAGTGCAAGGTGTGATTTTTCTTATTATCCTTGAAAACTGTCCCCTCCATGTTTTTATATGAACTAGGCCTACTGCCTGAACTGTGGCTTGACAACAAAATAAATATAAACACAACACGCAATATGTATCGTTTGTTTTATATATATTGTAAGACAATGTTAATATATTGATTTATCACTCACAATTGTCGTTGTCACATTTAATCACTGAGCCCTGTTTCTTTGCTTCGAAGATTGAGATGTTTTGCCAATTTTTTGCCCTAATTTCTGGAGGCCTTGTAGCTAGCGCCCTCACCCGGGTAATTGGGGAAACAAGAAATAGGCACACAGCCAACTTTTGTAAACCGACTTTTTATTGATTTTTTAGAAATAAAAAAATATTTTTTTTAAACAATTGCAGTGTAAAGTTTACAATTAAAGTTATAAGATTCTTAGTAAAAAGGAAAAAAATGATTATTCTGAATATTCGCAAATTTGATGTCTAAAAAATGCTGTCGGTTTGCATTTGTACTTTTTACAACAATTTCTTTGTTCTTGCGAGTTGCGGGGATAACAAAGGGAAGAAAGAATTGTAATGTTTCTATCTGTTTATCGATCTGTTTGTCTATCTGTTTATCTATCTGTTTATCTAGCTGTTTATATCTATCTATAGCTGTTAATCAGGAGCGTACTATATTCAGGATTTTTGTCTAAGCGGGGCCTGAAACCCCCTGAAAATCAATTTATTTCACCATGGTCCAGGGGGGGGGGCTGCAGCGCAATCCTCCCCCTGCCTACGCCCCTGAGCTGTTTATCCTTCTGCTTCTATTTAATAAAACAAGACATTCGTAAATATATATGTTCCCTGTGCATGTCTTAAACGGCTGGACCAAATGGCTGCAATTTTTCGAGGGAACCCATGGGGGAGCCCTGTAGCGACATAGGCTATAAAAATCTAATTGTTTTATTCAACAAGCTATTTTTTTCAATTTTATATGTGCATGTACATGTTATATATTCTTTCCGTTCTAGCAGCTGGGCCGTTATACTGACAGGGGGGTGCCCGACCGGCCAGTGGAAATTGTAACGAGGGGGGGCTCTTTTAATATTACATCTTCTTGCATTTCCCTTCCGCAGGCAATCTACTGCAGTCTACATTGCATTGCATTGCACTCACCCAAACTAAAAGATTGAGAAAAGAATTAATATATATTCTGATTCACAACAAACCCTTAAAAGCTGTGTCTGATCAATTATTGAAAACATCCCAGTTTCCTATTTTGAAAACTGAATTTGTGTTTTCTCTACAAAAGTGCCTCGCGCATTTCTTGCTTCAGAAACGATGGAGAAATGAAGGTTTCAAAAGTATCATCGGACAATATGCCACTCTATAAATGGGGGGGTCACTTGAAATTACGCATGTATTCCATTTAAATAATTACATCGTATAGAAAGAAATACTTTAAAATCTCACTTTTGCCCTATAGTTAAAATTAAGTTTCATTAAAAAAAAACTTTAATAAGTATTAAGTACTGCCTTCAGTGTAAATATATATTTGATATTATAATTTATAATACAATATGTATCACAATCCTATCCTATCACAATCCTTGAAGCTTTTGGGGGGAAAATGTGCCCCCCTCCATACACGAATGCTCTCGTATGCCCCTGAAAATATGTAGCTCCGACAATGTTTGGAATTTGATAATTGAGAATGAAAATAAAATTACTCACAGCCACATGTAACGTATGTAACGTTGGATGTAACGTTTCCTTGTCTCTGCTGCATAAATCTGCTAGTGTCATGACTTCAATAAAGAACTGCAAGTTGAAAATTCTTGGCTGAACAATCTGAATCCAATATCCATACAATTTTCTGACACACACAAATTAAAAGGGTACTGTTCTCTGTTAATTAAAATAATAGATTACGACGAGTTCCATGAAACAGCTCTGATCCGAATAGGACTCTTTTTCAAATGTTTTAATGCATACATGCTGGCATTGGCAAGTTGCTTCTTCATTCAACAGTTGTTTAACACTATCTGCCCTGTTTCATTTTACAAATCTTGACTAAATTTTTAAAAAAAACTTTTTACACATAATTGTATGTTGACCATAAATATACAATGCACATTCATCATAATCGGATGGGCGCTATCAGGGATAGTGAAGTAAAACAATTATTTTTAAATGCCAAGCCACGAAGGTTTGAGTTTGGAGGTAGTAAAAAGACCATTTTTTTTCTCTCAAAATTTGGATTTTATTTACTTTTTTTCATTCATTGCACTGCCGTTTTGTAATCTTTCTTTTTATTACAAACTAGCTGAAGTGCCAGGCATTGCCTCGACGTGGAATTTCAAAAATCGAATTAAAACAAAAAACTTATAATTTAGTTAGCTTATGTCATCTCCAAGGGTATCCATCCATGAGTTTCCTCACTAAAATTCAGCCCATTTGATTCAGCCGCGTTTGGCCATGGCCATAGCAAATATATGTAATAAATTCAGGGGTTGAAGCTTATCTTATTATCCTTATCATATATGTTTGTTTATCAAGTTTACTATCTTTATTATCTATGTTCTATTTGACCCGGATCGGTCAGTCCGGTCAACCTATATTTACCTGTATAAATAAATTAGTATAGCATAAATAGTCGTTTCGAACGGACGTATAGAGCCAGGGGTTTGGCTAGAGAGATAGAGTCTTGCAGACTGATTATTAGAGTTAGAGTCAAGTATAGGGAGATTGGTCGGGACCTAGATCGTTACATATATAAATTAACGAAGAGCTCTTTATTAGAATACACAAATATCAAATTTTCAAAACAGAAACTTTTACAATTCATTATTTTCCGGACCTTTGTCCTTTTTTTCATCTCAAAGAATTTAAATTTAGGTTGAGTTTTTAATTCTTAAAATGTCTTTTACTATCTTTAGTTTAAATACTAATTATCGATCATGCTATAACATAACAGTATAATAAAATATCGATTTTTTAGAAACAATGCTTTTTTCTGTTAGTTTTGTTTGAAGGAGAGATAAAGTATAGTTAATGCAGGGTAATTGGACTGTATATGTGTACCATTAAATTATATCTCATAACTACCCTACTAACCCGAAAACTTAAAAATACGTATGACATATATACGTATATATACGTATTTTTAGGTTTAGGAATACGTAAAAATACGCATTTTCCATACATATGACATACATATTTTCGAAACCATTCCTTGGATAAAAATACGTATTTGACAAACGTAAAAATGCATATGTAAAAAAACTAAAAATCAAATGAATCAGGAATTTTTAGGTTTTTCCTATACGTAGATTTAGGTTTGAAAAAATCCTAACATTTCTTAATTTTTGGGATTTATACTTTTTACCAAGTAATTTTTCTAATTTTTTAGGTTTTTTCTTTACTTACAAAAATGTATTTTTTTAGAGTTTAAAAGTTTGATGCAAACCTAAAAATATGTATGTTTTCGTAAATTTCATACCAAGAAATATTTCATAGTGTTTAGGTTTTTATGTTGCGTATTTTTACTTCTTTTTGAGGTTTTTTCTTTACTTAAAAAATTGTATTTTTTTTTGATTTTTTTTAATTAGGGGCATTTTTACAATTGGGGACAATTCTTTTCCCAATTTGGGGCAATTGGGGGCAAATGAGTTAGTGGAATGAGTGAGTCTTTTAATTGGGGGCATTTTTAGTAATTGAGAGCATTTTTTTTTAAATTGGGGGCATTTTTTTTAATTGGGGACATTTTTTTAAATTAGGGGCAATTGGGGCAAATGTGTTAGTGGAGTTTGAAAATATTTTTTTAATTGGGGGCATTTTTTTNGGGCAATGGGGGAAAATGTGTTAGTGGAATTTGAAAATGTTTTTTTAATTGGGGGCATTTTTTTGTAGGGGGCATTTTTTTAATTGGGGGCATTTTTTCAAATTGGGGGCAATGGGGGCAAATGTGTTGGTGGAATTTGAAATTTTTTTTTTTAATTGGGGGTAAAAAATTATTTTTAGGTTTCCGGGTTAGTACATGATACTAATTTCGCACAGGACATTTTTTCTCATGCGGATCCACCGTGCATCACTAAAATTGTGCTTCCGATCTACTAAAGTTGTGCATACGACCTACTAATGTTGTGCATCTGACCTACAAATATTGTGCATCCAACTCATTCAACCTACAGAAGAGTGCAACACGTGACTACAAAGACCTTCACTAGGTTAAGTAGATACACTATCTGTTTTAATGAATTGTGAACATCCGACCTACACTCTACACTCACTAGAGTACATCGGACCAAAAGCAGCTTGAAGCTGCTGAAAAATCACGTATGAATAGGTCCGAAGTTTCGTAGGATGGTTGTAACGTTGGGCGGATGTAATACAATTGTTATTCGATTGAATACAAAGACGACTTCAAAATTGTACGATTGCCGCGCTATGTAGAGGATTAAGTAAATAAACAAGAAAGTTGCACTCTGTTCCACTTATGTTTGTTGTATTTTCGTTCTTTAATTACCATGGTTATAGACAAAACTTTGATTCACGGGAAAGGGGTTATAGTGGGTATTGATAGTGCTTTTTTTTACCCCCCCATTTCATTCCCATGTATGCAGTATAGTGTTACATTCGCATAGTTTTGACTTTTGCACTTTATTTGCAACAATTTTCATGGACCGCGGTTTTAATTTGGATTTCATAATTTTGTCAGCGGCCATAACACCCTACCCACAAGCTATAATTTTTTCTCTAGGAATATACCTAAACCTTTTAAAATCAACAATGAACTTTCTATTTTTATTTTATGCGACGTGACACAATTCATTTAAAGATAGCAATGTCCCATTCATAACAGGATCTTTAACATAGGATATGGGAGGGCACTTTTAATTTCGTCAACAGTTTTATATATTACACATTTAGCCATCAATCATAGATTTATTTTTATAAAAATTTAAAATGTTTTTCATTACCAAAATTTAATATTTCAGATGAGACGATGTCAAATACTCAAATGAGAGATCCAAATTTAGCAAATGGGAACCGGGTTAAGTCTAAATACTTTCAGGGATAGACGGATAATTAAACTTAAATTATTTTGGGGATGAAAATTTTTGATTTATCATTGCTCAAATTATTGTTAATGAAGGTGTAGGATTTCCTATAGGGATTTCGCACAACTGTAATCGTATTGCCCTCAATCGCGCGCAAGTAAAATCCACTTCATTGGAAACCCTAGAGTCGATGCACCATGCGCCCCATCTAGTTTAAGGCCTGAATAATAATATACAACAACATTGTTTTTTTTTGAGATATTCTTTTTTTCTTCTGAAATTTGGCACTTCATCTATTTGTCTGTTTTATTAGAGCATTGAAGCTGGGACTGATGATAAACGAGTATTAAAGCATATTATGATTAATATTCTGAACCTGAGGAATGGAATGGAAGATAACCTACTCCTAATCCAAAAAATCAACCTGATGATACAGAAGGAAGAAGAGGAGCAGAAGGGTTTTGATGATGCGATCCATGCTGCCCAGCAACATATTGACTCCATTAATACAGTGTATATACTGGGAGTATCCTGGCTTAAAGATGAAACCGATTATGTTTTGAAAGTAATAGAAGGTATAAAAAGCTAAAAAAGTACATGTCTTACAAGGTTTTTTTTTCATTTTCCTAACAGTATTATAAGCAGAATGTTTTTTTTTATTCTTGGTAACTTAATTAAAAAAGAAATTTTAGAATTGCCGGATGAAGAAAATCTTGAAGATGAAGGGAAGTTTGACAGTTTTAAAACTGATGAATTAATGGATGACTTTGATGATATAAAGATTGAGATAAATGATCCTGAGCAGTTTACTAGTGTGAATCAGACCCAGATAGAATCTGTTTTCTCTTCCACACTTCTGAAAGAGGAACCGAGGGAGATAAAACTTGTAAAAGGTAAAAGCCATTTTTATCTTAACTAGAATGTTAAAATTTTTATCAAAAGTTTTTTTTTAGATTTTGAAAAGTCAAATTCTCTTTGGAAATCAGCAGAAACTTTACGAAATGAACCAACCCACACAGAAAATTTAGAAGCAAATAAACAAGATGTTTTTCAGTTCAAATGCGATCTATGTAAGTTTACTGGAATCACATTGCAGCTCTTCAAGGAACATAAAGATGTTTTCCACAGTGAAGTTTTGTATCCATGTAACGATTGCCAATATATTGGATCATCAGCAGTTAAACTGAAAGTTCATAAATCTCGGGAACACACAGACAAAAACTTTCATTGTGATAATTGTGATTTTATGTCGACTAAACTTGAACTTCTGAAAGCGCACATAAAAAGAAAACATTCGGATAAATCATATTGCGACCAATGTGAGTATTCTGGTGTAAAGACTGAAGTTAAAAGACATATTAGAATTAAGCATGAAGGATTAAGATACTCTTGTGACCAATGCAATTACAAAGCCACTCAAAAATCTCGTTTATTAAAACACATCAAAATCAAGCATGAAGGTCTTAAATATTCTTGTGACAAGTGTCCGACAGTTTTTACGGATGATAAGAATTTAAGAAGACATATTTTAAGTGTTCATGAAGGAAAACGGTTTTATTGTGATCAATGTGAGTACTCAGCCACTCAACCAACTCAGCTGAAAGAGCACTTTGACGGAGCACACAGAGGTATAACTTATCCCTGTGATAAATGTGAATATGTAGGAACTCAAGTTGGGTACTTGCGCCATCATAAACGTACAAAACATACTTTCGATGAAATTCACAATTGTAACCAATGTGAGCATGTAGCAAGATCAAGAGGATATTTGAAGTTGCACAAAAAGAGTGTACACGGTGTACATTACGGTACAACAGACGAAGATTTAGATGTGTTCTGCGATGAATGTGGACATGTAGCAAACACGAAAGAAGAATTGATCGTGCATAAGAATAAAGATCATGAAACGTCTAAAATGTTAAGCTGTGATCAATGTGATTTCTCAACCTATCACTTGATTTCTTTTAATTCTCATAAAAATTTGCATGATTTAAACTTTTCTTGTAATCAATGTTCCTTCCTCGGAACAACAAAAAAGAATTTAAAGATGCACATAAATATGATTCACGAGGATGTTAAGTATAAATGTGATTTATGTGAATATGTTGCTCATCAAACTTCTCATCTAAAAGTGCACAGAGAAGCCGTTCATCTTGGTATTAGATACCAGTGTGATAAATGTGAATTTGCAGCAACTGCTAAGGGAACTTTGAAACAGCATAAGTTGAGCAAACATGACGACACGAAGTATCCCTGTGATGAATGTGAATTTGTTGGATCAACACCGATTATGTTAAGAAGACATATGAAGACAAAACATGACTGAAGGGGGCCGTTACTAGCTATCTACTTAAATACCATAATTATTGCAGTTAGTACTGATTGCAACCCCGTAATGTCAAAAGTATTGTTACAGTCAGTTAAATTTACATTTGCGGGGTAAAATATGTAAATGGGCAATTATGTATCAAAATAATGTGATTAAGTGAAAATCTGCGATTTGACTAAAATTTAGCAAATTAAAAAAATCCAAAGTTAAAAAATTAAATTTTCGAAATACTGGGGAAAAAGTTTTTTTTTTAAATCCATAGATTTATCAAAACCTTATTTCGAGTGACAACTTCCCAAATCTACATTTTCTTAATTCTTTAATTTCTCAAAAGACACTCTTAAAAACTACTTGCAGCCCTCGCCCCTGACTGTATAGTGTATCTTGCCGCAGCGCAATGTCGCAAACCGAACCAAACCAAATCATTTGCAGTAGAAATCTTTCTTCTTTCAGCCAAATTTACATTTTAAAATTTCTGTTTGAAACAATACATTTGGAAAATTTTGAGTGGAGAAAATGCTGATGGAAAAGTACCTGAACACTAAACATTATTATTTTCAGTTACAATGAAATTATCACTTTCTAGTTCAGCTAATAGGAGACATCTTTACACAGAACTTCAGGAACCTGCAGAATTGAAACTTTTATTTAAATCTAGTTAAAATTGTCCGGCATTGCCCATAGAGTTTAAAAATCATCCAACACTTGACAGCAAACAACCTTCTGTATCAAAATGGGCAATCTTTTGGATGTGCCCCCTATTTTTACCCGTTGGGGCAATTGTAACATTTTTTGCTTCTTTTTAAGTATTACAGTTTGCCGCTTATAGGTATTAGGTAACATACATGTCCGCACTCACATATATATTCCGTAGCTCTGCTTTAGATATATGATGTCTTAAACAGATACTTACTTATTTACTTAAAAAAAAACTTAATATTTAAGATGTAAGTGTATTGTTTAATTCAATGGTTTGATTAGTCCATAGAAGCTGTGACTGATGATAAACGAGTATTAAAGCATATAATGATTGATATTCTCAACCTGAGAAATGGAATGGAAGATAACCTACTCCAAATCCAAAAAATTAACCTGATGATACAGAAAGAAGAAGAGGAACAGATGGGGTTTGATGATGTGATCCATGCTGCCCAGCAACATATTGACTCCATTAACACAGTGTATATACTGGGAGTATCCTGGCTTAAAGATGAAACTGATTTTGCTCTTAAGTTTATTGAAGGTAATTATTTCTCATCGATCCTTTTAAATTAAATTTTAATAAATAAATAGGTAATCGTTAAATGGACTAAAGTCGTAATTTCAAGTAGCCCCTCTCCCATAGAGAATAGAATATATATTAGAGGGGAATTTAAAGAATCTCTCGGGATGAATTTCTTCAGTCCCTTTCAGCCTGAAAGGGAGTTCAAAGTGTACAAATCATGTAAATGTTCACAAATTATATGCAGTAGAGTACATTAATACAGTACGTTCCCTAGACTATTTATTTCAATTTCGATTTTTTTAAACTGTTAAATAAACTTTATAATGAATTAGGTGAATAAAAAACATCATTTGATTTATAATTATAACGGAAAATCATCGTTTGTAAAGTGGAACGCATAGAGTCTATGTGAAATGATCATTGGTCAATTATGAAACCAGCCTATTTCATAATTTGGTTTTCTTTTAACAATAATTTTAGATTTTCTTTAAAATGATATTCCAGGGCCCAAAAGGTTATATAGCATAAATATGTGAAGTACACCTGCAGTATGGAAACAGTACAACAAAATGGCCGTTTTACACTTTTTTCTAGTAAATTCCCCTCTAATATATATTCTATTCTCTATGCCCTCTCCTCTCTTACAAAGTAGAATTTCCTTTTTAAAAGGGTATCAATTAAATGTTTTTTTGGATAAAGAATGAATTAGATATCCTAGTTTTTCTATGGTAAAATTGGTTTATTTTCAATAACAGCCGACGCAATGGAAAGAAATTATCATAACAGCTTCTTAAGACAGATTTATTACAACATCTTCCTTATTGTTTATCGATAAAGAATTTAAGGGAACCATTGTTAATAGGACGCATTAAAGTATAGCTTACATACATACATCAAAGCTTTTAGGATAATTTTGAATTTTAAATATGTTTAGTTGAATCCATAGAGCTATTAGAAGACGAAGATTATGATATTGAAGATATGGAAGATATCTCTGCTGGAAGAAGCAACGTTGAAGAAGAAGAAGAAGATTGTGAAGATATTAAGATAGACGTGGATGAATTAGAGAATATGAAACTTTTTAGTTCCGAGTACCCTGGGCTAAAGAAGGAGGAAGAAGAAGGTAAATTGTTTTGTTCACAAGTCGGTCTTTTTTATGTTTTTATTTTTACCATAAACTATTAAACTTTTGAGCCTCAAACTTGATATGCATATCTTGACCTCCACTATTTTGAATGGTTTTTGGTAAAATCTCGATTGAGAAATGCACATTATGTATTAGGAAAACTATTTCTATGAAATTAGTCCTTGGTCTTTAATTGCAAATTTCATCTTTAAAAGATAGCCAAACACCGTAAATTAAATTCATCTTTAAAAAATAAGTTTCAAATGACCCTCATAACGAGTTACCCTTGTAACCTTTGTCTGATCAATAATGTGGAATATACTCCTGTTTTTTTAGTTTTAAAAGTGTTTACTTTTAATAATTTATACATGTTTTCTGCAGTAGAAATAAGCAAGTAATTTTTGATGAGAAAATTAAATTGAAAATAATTATTTTTCTAAATTATTAACATGAGATCCAATTTATATTTGATCAGATTCAGCTTTTTAGGGTATCGTTGTGAATCGGGTATTGCTATTTTTGCAATGAAATTACGCTTACAGTCCGTTTAACTATGCCGGGAGGGGTGGTTTCTTGGTAACATTTGTGTTATTGGGATGTCCTAATAGATAGATAGATAGATATAGTCCCTTTTATTTAGATTCTGGATTTGAAGTTGCAAAAGCTGAATGCAAAACTATTCTTGAATACCCCTGTGAACACTGTGATTTAAAGACATCAAGCTCTAAAGATCTCTGTCTGCACAAGGTCTCAGTTCATCCTGATTTAATGTATCATTGTCATCTTTGTTCCTACATTGGAGCTGGTGAATTACACTTAAGAAAACACATGCATAGGAATCACAAGGGGGTACTTTTTTCATGTACTATTTGTGAATATGAAGCAAAATCAAAGCACGCTTTAAAAAGACACTTTGCTGTTAAACACGAAGGAGAAAAATCTCTATGTGATGAGTGTGATTACACAGGAACAAGGGGACAAATAAATAAACACAAGAAAAGCAAACATGAAGGAGTTAGATATCCCTGTGATCAGTGTGACTACAAAGCAATACATTTCTCTCATTTAAAGTTGCACAAAGAGAACAAACACAAAGGTATTAGATTTTTTTGTGATCAATGCGAGACTTCGTTTACTGGGGAGAGAAATCTAAAAAGACATATTAGAAATAAACATGACGGGTTCAGATACTCATGTGATCAGTGTGAATACTCGGCTTCTCAACAGAGTCTTTTAAAAGAACACATCGACGGAATTCATAAAGGAATGCAGTTTCCATGTGATAAGTGTGATTATGTTACAGCTATTGCCGGAAATCTTCGATCACATAAGTATACTAAGCATGATAATGGGCGACAGAAAAACTTACATGGAGATCAATCTGAATCGCAAGAACGGCCGAAATATCTTTGTGATAAATGTGATCATCTTGCCAGTTCCAAGGGAAATTTGAAACTTCACAAATTGGCTATTCACGAAAAAACGTCTCAATATATGTGCGATCAATGTGAGTTTGTAACAAACTATATTTGCTCTTTAAAGCAACACAGGGAGAGCCATGACGGTATTCCCAAATCCTGTGATAAGTGTCCTTATGTTGGAAAAACTATGCATTATCTCAAAAGACACAAAAAGTTAAAACATGAAGGCGGCAGGTATCGCTGTGAGTTATGTGAATATGCGGCACAAGACAACGCTCATCTAAGAAGACACAAAGAAAGTGTGCATTTGGGAATTAAGCATCATTGTGATCAATGTGAGTTTGCTGCCTCTACCATTGATAACCTGAAACAGCACAAAAAGAGTAAACACGACTTTACCAAATTTCCCTGTAGTCAATGTGAACATGTAGCTAATACACAGTATAGTCTTAGAAAGCACATAAAAAGCAAACATGAATATGTGAGAGATCTGTCTATCCTTGCATAATTTCTCTATAAATTAAAGAACAGAATAAGTGCCTTTATCAGACCTACCATATTGTACAAATTGACGGATATTGTGTTACCTTTATTTCTTATTATTTCTGTTTTTTAATTAACTCGTTGTAACACCCAAATGAAATTCTTTTAATTTAGATAAAGTTTTTTTCAATGAATACAAAAAATATTGAACTCTGAAAATGGTAAACTTCCGTCTTTTAAATCTAAAGTATATTTTTATTTGATTATTTAATCTGTCCTAAGAATTTATTTGATCTCTAAATTCATGAAAACTTTTTTTTACCCTTTTCTATTCATCTTTCGACACATTTGGATGGCTGGGAGCAACGACCGATGACCCCTTTCGTCGAAGAATGGGTTGTATTTTAAAAATAATAAAAAAAAATCACAAACTGAACGAACTTAATTGCAATAAATTCATTGCACCATGAGATAACCAAGCATTTTTTGGGAACATCGGGGAATACTATAGAAATTATATAAACCTAAATTTGGGGTGTATTTTGGACAACTTTAGTTACATGCTGTTGTAGCCCAGAAGTTAGGTCAGGTCACTTCTAAACCATGATGAAGGGCAGTTTCTCTTGGTTGCGTCCAAAGGGTAAAGGTAGTTAAAATTGTCGGTTTTTCTGTCCAGTTAAAGAGGTGTTAGGTATCATGTGGGACAGGATTATTCTTGTTTTTCTTGGTAAAGACGTTTCTGATATGTGGATATTAGGAGGGAGATAGTAGTTACATCATAATTCCCCTCAAACGGTTTTATTTTTCAACTTTTTCTCCCGTTCAGAAGTATTTAAGAATAATACTGGTCAAGTCTTTTTTAACATTGATTAAATTCCATTGTTTTTTTTCTTAAACTGTAATAATTATATTTGGTTACTGTCACAAACTCAAATTATTTTTTTCAGGTTGAAAATGGCGGAAAATGTAGATCTAGACGATCAAGACGATCTAGACGATCAAGACGATCTAGACGATCTAGTTCTCAGTTCTAGACGCAGTAGAGAACAGATTAAACTCCAGGAAAACAAATAGAATATTTCATATCTTTCTTTTAGGAAATTTAAAAACAATTTAATTTAACATCTTTTTACAGTTCTGCCTTTAGATTTCCGGTTTCTGTTGTTGTAGTAGCCATTGAACCATAGTAGCGTATATGGACATGGAAATGGATTGTGAACTTTCATAATGGTTTAATTATTCTAATTCTTGATTTGCCTGTTATCAACTGTATAGTTTTTTTTTCACATTTTTTATACTTATGACCCAAAAATTTCCTTCCCCTAAAAATCATCAAGTTTCTCCAATTTGGTAAAGCCTTCCTAAAGTTAGTGAAAATATTTATCCCTTCACACTAAATTTGAATTCATAGTTTTAAATTTTTAATCGTCAATAAGAAAGTTTTCCTGATTCTATGTTGTGAACTAGACCACAGAGGCTTTGACTGATGATGAACGAGTATTAAAGCTTATAATGATTGATATTCTCAACCTGAGGAATGGAATGGAAGATAACCTACTCCTAATCCAACAAATCAACCTGATGATACAGAAGGAAGGAGAGGAGCAGAAGGGGTTTGATGATGTGATCCATGCTGCCCAGCAACATATTGACTCCATTAACACAGTGTATACTCTGGGGGTATCCTGGCTTAAAAAGGAAGATGGTTTATCTTTGGAATTTATTCAAGGTAAAAATGGATAGGTTGGCTCTATGCGTCCAACAACTTTGCTAATTGGTGCTAAAAAAGTAATTCAGTTGACGTAATTGGGATTTTTGATAAATCAATCATTTAAAGATTTCGTGAAACTTTCAAATAAAACTGAATTTTTACTTATTATATTTTTATATAGAAAATTGCAAGACTAGAAAAGTTGGAAAAGAAAACGATATAGTTGAGATGGATGTATCCGAAGATATAGAAGAATGCTTGAATATAAAAATAGAAATGGAAGAAATAGAGAATAGATCTGACGAGTCCCTCCAACCTTTTGTTAAAAAGGAGTATGAAGTCAAGGAAAATTTTCAAGGTAAGAATTTGTCTTGATATACTTATTTGTATGTTTGGAAAGGAAAGTGTGAACTAGAGCGTGTCCTATCCCCTCGCTAGCCCCCTTTTTTAGCATTAGCTCGTTTTTGAATAATTTAAATAAAACCGATTCTCAAAATCATCCCTCCAACATGGACAATCAATGAGGATTTTAAAGATTGCGCTCTTGCTGGAAAAATATGCACCTTAAAAACGTCTGATAGGTCTCAAATTAATCCTTCAAAAATTCTCACTAGTACTGAAATCTCAGTTCAACTATTATACATTGCTGGTCACTCCCTTTTAAGGTGACATTATATCTTACAAAGGAGGACCATAATTAACTTTCAAATTCGGAACACAAAGTTTCGCCATTTCGACGTTTCTTGAAGCCAAAACAGACAAGACTTAGTTATATATTGTTACTCCTTACTTACTTCAGAAAATTATATTTTTTATTTTGCATTCAGATGCAGAGTTTGATAGAAAGGTGTCGGCTGAGGATGACATAGATGCAACCTCGAATTCTGGTTCCTCCGAAAATGTCAATAATGGCGGTGTATTTTCCACAAGCTTGGAATATCCATGCAACGAGTGTGATTTTGTTGGAAGAAGTATTAAGAGTTTAGCTGGGCATAATACACGGGTTCATACTGTTAAAACATTCTCTTGTGATATGTGTGAATTCACAAGTTCCTCACTGAGATATATAAAAAAGCACAAACTCCGGCATCACCCAGGCTTATCAATTAAATGTGATTCATGCGACTTTGTAGCTTTATCTACAGAAGATATAAAAGCTCACCGAAGAAGAGTGCACACTGGGAAAATAGTTAATTGCGAACATTGTGACTTTAAATGTAAGTCGACGCATCTACTGGACGCGCACATGCAGCGTGCACATGTAGGACTCAAGTTTGTGTGCGAGCAGTGTGGCCATGAAACTAATACTGCTGCCAATCTTAGGATGCACAAACGTGTGAAGCATGAAGGTTATAGGTTCCCTTGTACTGAATGTGATTACAAAGCTCTGTCAAGAAGTGGGTTAAGCTCACACAACAAAAATAAACATAAAGGTGTAAGATATTTCTGCGACAAATGTGAACAAGTATTTACTGAGGGAAGTAATTTAAGACGACATATTAAAACAGTGCATGAGGGGGTTCGTTACCAATGTGATCTTTGTGGGTTTTCCTCCTCTCAACCTCATCAACTAAAAGAACACATGGATGGAAAGCACAATGGAGTACAGTTTACATGTAATAAATGTGAATATGTTACGTCTGTCGCGACTGACTTAAAAAAACACAAACAATCAACTCACGGCGAAGAGCCTGACGCCACATGGTTTAAATGCGATGAATGCGATTACGTCACAGGGCTTAGGAAAAGCATGAACGTGCATAAAAAACAGGTTCATGGGGACGAGTCTCATCCATGTGATCTATGCGATTATGTTGCAAAGATTGCGCAAGACTTGAGCAAGCACCAAAGTGCAAAACACCAGGGGAAAACATACAAATGTGAAGATTGTGATTATATCACTCACATGAAAGGAAGTTTAACCCAACACAAAGAAAGACATTTAGAGCCAATGCATGCCTGCGATGAATGTCCTTGGGTGGGAAAGCGTGTATTTGATTTGAGAATTCATAAAAGAGGAAAACACGAAGGAATCCGTTTTCCGTGTGATGAATGCGAATACTCTGCGCTGGATAAAGCTCATCTCAGAACGCACAAAGAGGCCGTTCACCTGGGTATTAAATACCCCTGTGATATCTGTGGATTTGCTGCGTCCAACAAGGGAAACTTAAAGCAGCACATTGAAAGTAAACATGACGATACCAGGTATGCCTGTGATCAGTGCCAATACTCAGCAACAACCCAGATTGGATTGAGGAAACATTTAAAGAGCAAACATTCGCGTTAACGTAACATACAGTTTACAGGTTCTTCGGTATTCCCTACTACCAGACCATGTTGTAAATATTGATGTTTTATTAGGGTTTTAGATGTAATCCTCTCCTTAAAATCAATTAATTTCCCCCAATTGAGCAAATCATCCCCCTCCCTCCCATATAAAAACTACATAATATCTGGGGGGAAATTTTCATGAGGGGGGGGGGGTGGAAAATATAAACCCCTGAACGCAGCAGTTGCCATTCGCAGATACACTGCTGAACAATATCTTTTTCCGAATTTCAGATAAATTTAGACTTGTAGTTAAATGAACTTTATAGTTTTTACCGGTCGTAACGATAAATCTTTCTTTTCGTAAATTCTCTCTTCTTGGCAAAAAAATGATTTTCAAATTTAAGTAGAAAAAACAATAATATGAATTTAGTAGAATACGTATTGTTTAAACTGTGTATAGTACAATGCTCCATGAGGTTTCTAAAATCCAATTTTTCTTAATTTTTCACATATTAAGCATTTTGATTTCTAGAATTTTTAATGTAATTAAATTTAATTTATTCAATATTTTCAGATAAAATGAATTTTAAAGTTACAAAAAGTTTAAGTTTTGAAGAGGATCAAAATCAGATATTTACAAAATTACAGGGAGCCATATATTTTATGCTAGGCTTCGAGCCTCTCTCCGAACAAACAATTTGGTAATTTCTAAGAGTACGATTTTCGGCACCTACCCCCCCCCCCCCATCATAAATTTTTAGGCATATATAGTCAAAGTTCGACATGTGGCCGTAGCACTGTGCCTATGCACTTTTATCATTCACGCTCAATTTCATCATAGCATTGTAATAAAGTATATCAGCTTTATATTATGCTTTTTAGTTTAAATAGTGTTTTTTCTCATTTTTTGTTTGTATACTTCTATTAAATATTTATCATACTGTTGTTTTGGTTATAAATATGCTTCATAGAGAACCTTCTAGAAACAGAGAGAATTTAATTTCAAAAACTTTAAAACACGGCGGGCCAAAATAATTGTATTGTAGATGAATTAGGAAATGTTTGTGTAATTTTCTTTATTCATTGGTTATATGAAGATTTAACAAGCTTTTGATAAAGCAAACCCCATTTTAATACTATGGTTTAATTAGAGCATAGAAGCTGTGACTGATGATAAACGAGTATTAAAACATATAATGATTAATATTCTCAACCTGAGGAATGGAATGGAAGATAACCTACTCCTAATCCAACAAATCAACCTGATGATACAGAAGGAAGGAGAGGAGCAGAAGGGGTTTGATGATGTTATCCATGCTGCCCAGCAACATATTGACTCCATTAACACAGTGTTTACGCTGGGAATATCCTGGCTTCAAGATGACATCAGTTTTGTTCTGAAAACTTTGGATGGTAACATGTTTTTATTTAAAGGGAGTGACCGGCAATGTATGGTAGTTGAACTGAGAATGTAGAATTGTGGAGAATTTTATTAGGAATCATTTGAGACATAAAACATTTCAATAATGTATAATTTCTGAGTTTGAGCGCAAAGTCGACTTTCAAACTGTTTAGAAACAGGTTGAGAAAATAAAAATTAAGCCTTATATCATCGAAAATATGTAATCTTATTCAGATACTAGTTTCTGTAATCTCTCATTGTTCACAAACATTTTCTGTAGATTTTCTGGAATTTTTATTGAAAAGATGACATTTGAAGAATTTGCAGAAATCTTCAAACAAATTCATAAAGAATAAGAAATTCAATATAATGACGAAAAAGAAATAATTGATTCTAACATTGATTTATTGACAAATTTCTATTGATGTTCCTAAACATCTAATTAGTCTACTTTAGATTTTTGATACATTTTTCGTCGTCGTTATTTAATAATTTTAAAACAATCGATTCTCAAAACGTAACCACCCAAATTGATGATTTTGTACATCGGCTTTGCGCTCAAACTCAGTAATTATACATTATTAAAAAGCTTTATATGTTTAAAATGAACCTATGAAATTTGTCCACAATACTACATTCTCAGTTCAACTAACATGCGTTGCCGGCCACTCCCTTTAAACTAAACCAAGATATTTAATGGATTGTAGCGCTAAAGAACAACAACTTTCTAACTTCATAGAACTAATTTTATTTCATGACATAATTTTAGTAATCCGGGAAACTTTTTCTGGTAAATCAGCGACTGGAGGTTTTTAAAAAGTATTTAGAGATAGTAGTAATAGTTACTATTAAAATACAAGCACATTATAATATTTTGAAACATATGGCTATTGTGGAATGTTGTGATCAATTTCGGCAACCCTTTGAAATGAAACTAACAGTCCCTTTAAATAGTAAAATAAGCATTTCCCAAATTAACTTAATCGAAGATTTTTGAGTTTCAAATTGATTGATTGATTTTCTCATTTATTTTTTTTAGAAGATGAGTCCAATGTTCTAACTATTGAGGATGGGGATAATTATGATGAATGCAAGGAAGGGTTTGATGGTGATATGGAGACCTGTGAGGATGTAAAGATAGATATGGACGAACTGGAGAACACTGTGAAGCAACTTAATCAAGATTTAAAAAAAGAATCGAATGAAGAAATGAAAGGTAAAGAGTGCCCTGGGACTAGATTTAATGACTAGCAAGACATGGTTGAACCGCGTACACGAGGTTCAAGCTCTCTTCTTCTTGAACCGGTGCACAAGAGAGGTGGTTGAATTACACCTGGGTAGTTTAGCTATTTCTCCCTATTCATTAATTCCTGCCTCAAGTGTAAAAATTCTTACTAACAGAGCTTGGATTTCTTTGATTGGGATTCACTTAGCTTTACTATGATTGAATTTTTAGGAAATGGATTTAGCGTTCACATGTTGTACTCTTGTAGCCTGTTATTCCTCAAATTGTACACTGTCCTGTACATCACTATACAACTATACTCTCACAAATAATTGAAACTACAAGAATCACAAGAAACCATGGTACAAAAACTAACACGGTTCTAGGATATGGTCCTAAAGAGGAGTTTAGAAGTCCACGGATATGGTCCTAAAGAGGAGTTAAGTCCACGGATATTGTCCTAAAGAGGAGTTTAGAAGTCCACGGATATGGTCCCAAGAGAGGAGTTTAGAAGTCCACGGATATGGTCCCAAAAGAGGAGTTCAGGAAGTCCACGGAAATGGTCCCTAAAAGAGGAGTTTAGAAGTCAACGGATATTGTCCCAAAAGAGGAGTTTAGAAGTCCACGGATTTTTGTAGAGGACTTTGGTCTAAGAACCCCGAGATATTGCAGTAAAAGTGTGTATATTTCTTTAAAGTTTCTATTTAATTTGAGTTATTTCAAATAATTTTCTCTAAATTGTATTATTTTAGATAAAACCAGATCTGACTAGAATAAATAAAATATTCGTTGACATCTGCGTGTTATTTCTGTTCAAATCTCAATTCAATCAAAGGGTTGCTAAAATCGCCCTGTTCTTAAGAAAGCTAGATTTTACACCTCCCACCATACCTCCCATACCCTTTCCTTCATTTTTAAAAGTGTTGAGAGGGGGGGGGGGGATTTTTAGAATGTTTTAAAGAATTAAATCTCAATGCTTGATATAAAGAAACTTGACTAAGAAGGGTTAGAACCCTAAAAAGAGGCAAACCCCCTTGAACATTTATTCAAAGTGGCTCTTTTCTGATAAAAATACAGTTTAGTTTTTTAAAAACATTTATTTCTTTTTAAATTTTGTTTTCAATTATTGGGCACAGATCATACAAAAATAAAAATTTTGATTATTGTCATCTATTTTTTTCCTTCTTCATTCTTCATTTTCTTCTTTTGGTGACTCTCCCGTCCGGCAGTTTGGAAAACAAATGTTTATTTTACGAAACTTTTTAGAGTTGCCGAAATTCTTCACTTGTCAAATACATTTGATAATTTCAGATGTTGATGGTTCGTCTGAAAATCTGGAATGCAAAACAATTCTTGAATATCCTTGTGATCAGTGCGACTTCCGAACTAGCAATTCAAAAGATCTAAAGCAACACATGGTCGATCTTCACAGTGATGTTTTGCATTATTGCGATAAATGCGATTATGTTGGAACATGCAAGTTGCATCTGAGAAAGCACAAGAATAGACAGCATGCTGGACATAGATTTCCCTGTGATAAATGTGATTATGTGGCAGGAACTAGACACGTTTTAAACGGCCACATTGAGTGCAGGCATTCTGATATAAAAACACTGTGTGATCAATGTGAGTATACGGGATCTAAGGCGCAAGTAAACCTTCACAAAAAAGTTAAACACGAAGGCGTCAGATTTTCTTGTGATATTTGTGATTATAAAGCGACTCGTCTTAATCATTTGAAGGAACATATTCAACGAAGACACGAAGGGGTTCGATACTACTGTGATCAATGTGAAAGTTCTTTTAGTGCAGAGGGTAATCTAAAAAGACACATAAGAAATATCCACGAAGGACAAAAGTATCCTTGTGATGAATGCGAATATTCTGCTTCCCATCAGAGTCAATTAAAACTTCATGTGGACGCGGTACATAAAGGAATTCAATATTCATGTGAAAGATGTGAGTATGTAGCATCTCACTCTAGATCCTTAAGAATACACAGAATTTTGAAGCATGATGAGCCGGATTTACCTAACGGGAAACATTCTGGATGTGTCTATCCCTGTGACAAATGTCAATATATTGCGGGAAATAAATCAAATTTGAGAATGCACATTGAAAGTAAACATGAAAGATCGATGTCTTTTATGTGTGATCAATGCGACCATATGGCGTCTACGAAGGGTAATTTAAAAGTACATATAGAAAATAAACATAACAAAAGCAACATATATTCCTGTGATCAGTGTAGTCATGTGACCCATACTAAAAGTAATATGAAAACGCACAAAATGAGACACGAAGAAGGTCAACATTTGTGTGATCAGTGTCCCTATATTGGGAAAGTTAAGTCTGATCTAAAAAAGCACAAACAAATTAAACACGAAGGTGTGCGTTTTCCCTGTGATTTATGTGAGTATGCTGCACAAGATAAAGCACATCTTAGAGTTCATAAGGAAAGTGTGCATTTAGGAATTAAGTATCCTTGTGATCAGTGCACGTTTTCAGCATCAACTAAGGCTAATCTTAAGCAGCACAAAGAAAGCAAGCACGACTTGAGAAAGTATCCTTGTAACATATGTGAACACATTGCATCAACAACCTATGGATTAAGAAAGCACACTAAAAGTAAACATGATTATATCCATAACATTTTGCTACAAAACCCTGGTTAAACAATCAAAGTTTTACTTAAAAAAATATTCGAACCATTTTTGGGCTGTAGATGTGTTATTTAGTGGATTTGTATTTTTTTTTCATGCATGCTATTCAAAACGTTTATGAAGAAATTGAGCCACTAGCTTAAAGTTTTTATTCCCTATATCTTTGCAACCTTCGATACTTCTAATTAAGATTTTTGATCAAACAAAAGGCCGCGACGACATTGGGCTGCAAAGAGTTTCTGGCAAAGACTCAATTCCTATGAGATCAAATTACAACATTTTTATGTCCAAATATTCAGCTTAACGCTTTTTATTATTTATTTTTATTTTTGATACGAAATGAATATTTTTTTGTGATTTTAAAGGATTGATTGTGCAAATTTCTCAAAAAGAAAATCCGTTTAACAGATTAGTAAGATCCACAGAAAAAAATCTTCGATATAAATGCATTTTTTCCTTTTCATTTAACAGAATTAAAAGTGGGTTTAACTTATATATATAAATAAAATGTTTTCCAGGATCCCGTTACATCTATTTCAACAAACTGATATTTTTACAAATTGAACGATTTTTAACTTTCACTTTTAGCTCAATATTTTTTATATTGTTATAAATTTGCATTTACGTAGATTCATGATGTCATTATTAGAAAAGCAAAAAGAAGTTTGAATGGATTGTCAAAAAAAAGAAGGAGGCATTTATTAAATGCTTTTCAACTTGTTTCTTTTAAACCTCTATCTCCAATAAGTAAATGCCATTTTTTGCTTGTTTATGTTGCAAAAATCTACGCATCGCTTTCTCACTTCTAACTAACTTTTTGGACAAATCCTTAAACAATTCATAATACATTAAAAAACTAAAACAGATTATTTATTTTTGTTTCAGAATTTAAAATGAATAGATCTATTGGTTCCTTTAAGCTCTATGATATTCAGGAAAATATGAAATATTTTTTAACGCTCAAATTCAAAATTTTAGCATCTAGAATTTAGAAGCAATGTTCCTGCAATTTCACAAATTTTGACAATTTTAGGGTCTTATTTTACCATTTCTGGCCGAAATGTTTAAACTTGGTCAGCTAAACTCTTAAACTTCAGAGCTTTTTAACCTTAGTTTTAGCATACTTTGTTTGGTGAAGACTTTGTTTCTAACAAGAAAGATAGAACATTTTTGAAAAATGTACTGAAATTATGGTTCAAAAGCTCTAGTTCTAACAACATGGATATCTAAAAAAAGGTTTTGGGAAAATTGGAGGAAGGATTCATTTAAAAACTTGAGGTTAAAAAGATGATTAAAATTTCGGACCATATGCAATATACATTATGAATGCAAGAGAAGAAAAAAATCAAATAATACATTTTTTTCTTTCAGTAATAAGTAAAAATAGTACTTTAAAGTAGCTTTATATCTTAATTGAAAAAAATATTCTTGCAAATTAAAGCATGCGAGGTCAGGCCGAAAATTGGCCGGAACTCTGGGATGCGATAACTTAATAACCAGAGTTCACAGGAGTCTGAAACTTTGTAATTAATGTATTCTCATAATATGCTAGCTGTGTTCAAAAATTTAAAACAATCCATGACATAGATTTCCATGGTTGTGGCGGACTTGATAATAAATTACCCATGCATATTTTTTTTGAACTGTTCTACACATTTCAATAATCTTCTCACAATTCAGGCATTGAAAACTTTTTTAACAGGCGTAAAACTAAACAGGGGAAGAATACCATGTCTTCATATGAACCACATTCTTCACATTTTCTCATCCGAACCACCTCACTCATGTCTGTTTCTCCCTTTAAATGTTCAAATATGGGAAATGTTTTTTAAAATCAGCTAACCTAACCTATTTTAAGATGTTATACATTAGGTCGGAAAACTATTAGATCAGAGAACAACTACGTCATTTTGTTCTGTGTCAGATAAGCGAGTTCCAATATTTATAGCGCATTTATTCCATGTTTTATTAGAGGCATAGAAGCTGTGACTGAAGATAAACGAATATTGAAGCATTTTATGATTGATATTCTCAACCTGATGAATGGAATAGAAGATAACCTACTTCTAATACAGAAAGTCCATCACATTGTGAAACATAACAAGTCCGTTAGTACAGATTTATTGAATGCAATAACTGGTATCCAGCACTACATTGATGCTATTAACACAGTGTGTACACTGGGAGTATCCTGGCCTAAAGATGACATCGATTTCGTTCTGAAAGCTTTGGATGGTAAAATGTTTTTTTTTGTTGAAAATAAACCTAGAGATTTAATGGATGGTATCGATTCACAACAACAATGTTCAAACTTTTACTTATAATACTATGAATAAGTCAATTTCACTAATGATCGAATTGGTCCAATTCTGAAGAGTAATAAAGTTCACTTGTTAGAAGAGATCAATGGAATTAATGATTATTTTTACTTATTACGAATTAGCAGGGAGGGGAGGGGGAAAGGGGGTATTATCATTTCAATTAAAAGTACATCTAATCCTGAAATTTGTTCACATGGAAAAATGTTCAAATAGACTACAGCCCAGTTTGAAATCAGCTGACTTTATTTCAATCGTCTAGTGTTGTTTGCTGTAAAGCATTAACATTTACAGCTTATTTTTCAATAACAAATTTATTTTATGTTAATGGTTCGTCTGAGAAGCTTGAATGCAAAACAATTCTTGTATTTCCATGTGATCAGTGCGACTTTACAACACGCTATTATAGAGATTTAAAGCAACACATAGTCGATCTTCACAACAATGTTTTGCATCATTGCAATAAATGCGATAATGTTGGAACAAGCAAATTGCATCTGAGGAAGCACAAGAATAAACAGCATGCTCGACATAGATATCCCTGTGATAAATGTGATTATGTGGAGGGAGATGAATATGTTTTAAACACACACATTGAGAGCCAGAATTTCACAAAGCGACACGGCCCTAGTAATTAGAAATGACATTTTCAACGAAGATGCGAAGGGGTTCGATTTAACTGCTCTCAACGTGATAAATCCTTTAGTTGTAAGAGTGATTTGAGGACGCACTTAGTGTGGGTGCACAGTGAAAGTAACGCCAAGAATTCCAGGTCCAAGAATTCCAGTTCGTTTATGTGTGATCAATGCGATCATATGGCGATTACGAAGGGTAATTTAAAATTACATAGAGATTTTAAACATAACGAAAGCACCTTATATTACTGTGACAAGTGTATTCATGTGACCTAAAATAAAAGATTCACCGACAAAGGGTCAAACGACCCAGGGTCAAACGACAAAGGGTCAAACGACACAGGGTCAAACGACACAGGGTCAAACTACTCTTTGTCGTTTGACCCTGTGTCGTTTGACCCTTTGTCGCGTTTTTGACCCCTTGTCGTTTGACCCTGTGTCGTTTGACCCTGTGTCGTTTGACCCTGTGTCGTTTGACCCTGGGTCGTTTGACCCTGGGTCGTTTGACCCTGGGTCGTTTGACCCTTTGTCGGTGAATCCAATAAAAGTAGTATGAAAACCCCACAATATTAGACGAGACAAAGAAGGCCAACATTTGTGTGATCAGTGTCCCTATATTTGGAAACTTAGGTCTGATCTAAAAAGGCACAAACAAGTTAAACAGGAAGGTGTGCGTTTTCCCTGTGATTTATGTGAGTATGCGGCACCAGATAAAGCACATCTTAGATTACATAAAGAAAGTGTCCATTTAGGATTTAAATATCCCTGTGACCATTGCACGTTCTCAGCTTCAACTGAGGGTAACCTAAAGGGACACAAAGAAAGCAAGCATGAGAACGCATCCTTGTAACATATGTGAACACATTGAATCGACAGCCTTTGGATTAAGAAAGCACACAAAAAGTAAAAATCAATTTGAAGTCGATAGCTAAAATGTTTTCCATATCTCAAATAATTAATAATGTATTCAAGAGCTGATTCAAGATGATAAATTTTGATTTCAGAATTTAAAATGAACAGATCTGGTGGTTCCTATAGGTCACTTTTGCTCAACGATATACAGGAATACATGGGACAATTTCAGACGCTTATGAAATAAAGTTACATCTTGTTTGGCTTTTTTGGTCATTTTTTGCCTCTATTTTTTGGCGATTGTTCTATTTTTTCCAATTTAACTTCTTAAATTAGGAACTGTTTTCGTAACTGTAAGTGGCCCTGCATTTAAAAAGAGTGGCATGTCCGATTTACAACGATAACTTTTAAAATTTTTTGGATCAATTATCGTTGTTTCATCATGTAGCTTTACAAGTGTTTGATTTTGATAAGTTCCTCCCATTATGCCTGCAGAAGTGGGCCAGCGCAAGCCACTTTGTAGTTTAGTGAGTCAAATTTTTCATAATCATGCTTTCCAAATTCTAAAATAGACATTTTTGTAATGGTTCTTTTAGCGCATTTATTCCTAGCTTTATTAGAGTATAGAAGCTGTAACTGATGATAAACGAATATTAAAGCATATAATGATTGATATTCTCAACCTGAGGAATGGAATGGAAGATAACCTACTCCTAATCCAACAAATCAACCTGATGATACAGAAGGAAGGAGAGGAGCAGAAGGGGTTTGATGATGTGATCCATGCTGCCCAGCAACATATTGACTCCATTAACACAGTGTATACACTGGGAGTATCATGGCTTAAAGATGAAACTGAATTCGCTCTTAAATTTATTGAAGGTAAATACCTCAGAAGTTTATATTTTCTAGAATATACTAAATTTAATGTTTTCCTACAATTTTTTGTTTTGCTGAATCGAAACATTAAAATCACTGAAGTATTTCTCATTTGTTTAATGAAAGTCATAATAACAAAAGAGATAAAAAGGGGCTTTTGGGATTTTTTTTTGCAAATGCCAATACGAAACCGTTAAAATTTCATAAAAAGTGATTTCCCCTTTTTAATGGACACTTGAAATCAATTTCTAAAGTTACATTTGCACGTAGATGGTTCCAGAGATTGTGATCAAGAACATTATTTAGAAGAGATAAATACGGAGATACAAGACAGGGACTACATCAATCAGATTAAGAACATGCAGAGCATAAAGAACAAAATAAACTTGAAGAATGTTCAGAATAAAATAAACATGGAGAACATAATGGTCACCAAACACAGTATGGAGGGGACAGAGAAATCCAAGAACATTGAAATATGTGAGAGCTTGAATAGCAAAGAGGAAAATTATTTGGAAATCCGTGAAAATATGGAGAACGTGGAGATCATGGGGAAAAAAGAGAACAAGGAGATTGAAAACCTGGAGAAGATGGAGAACATTGAGAATCTAAGAGAGATAAGAAACTTGGACAATGGAAAGGTTGATATAGAAGAATGCGAGGATATAAAGGTTGAAGTTTGGAATAAATGTTTTTTTTTCAAACCTTTTTGATCACTTTTTTGTTTTGTTTTAGTCTCTAAACATCAATTTAAGCGTAGTTTCTTTTTGAAAATTTTAAATTTTGATCTGAAATATTCCACATTTTCATTTTTTTTAATTTTTTTTTGCATTAAGATAAAAAATAAGAATAATTTTAATTTATAGGTCGAAATGGAAGACTGTGAAGTGGAAAACACTGAAAGCTGCATCAAAAAAGGTAATTATTTTTGAGGATTTTTTGAGAGTTAAAAAACTCAATTTTATAACTGAGTTGTTCCTGTCTTATTTTTTACTTAGTTATTTTAGTTTAGAAAAATCCATGAAAACGATATAAAATATTTTTTTGACCAATTCTTGAAGAAAAATGACTCAGTTTAGAGTTTAACCAAAGAAATTATATATCGGTACCTACATTTATGTATTGTGAAAATGCTTGATCTCAATTTTCAATGCACGAAAACTTTAAAATTTGAAAGAAAACTGCTTTATTTCTAGATTTCAAAGAGGAAATCATTTAATCCGTATGAATGCACTGTACATTATATTGATAACTGTTCAAGGGTGTATATTTTCTAGAAAAATCATTCCCCTCCCCCTCTTTTATTAACCTTTTTTTCCCAATGTTTTTTTCATGGTTCTTTTCCTTAAAAATAAGTTTTTGAGTTAAGAGTATCAAAAAGGATGAATCTTTGAATAAAAAAATTAAAATAATTTCACGGGTGTTTGTGAATTGTCTGTAATTATTTGATCCTGGGTTAAGAAAAACAAAAGTTCTCAATTCAGCTAGTCATAACTATTGGACAGTAGACACTTAATGATATATATTTTACACATTGTCATTATCATGTTTAGATGAATTATGTAAGACTGAGTCGTTTCTCCAGGACTTTGAAGACAGAAGACGACATCTGGCAAGCAGGGTGGAAGGAAGAAAACGAGGAGGGAAATCAAACGTAGTGAAAAATATTTACCCCCTTGCAATTAAATCTCCTTGTGATCAATGTTCGTATGTAGCTTATTCTAAAACTGATTTGACAGTTCACTTGCGAAGAACACACTCTGAAGGAATGACATGTGATCTCTGTGATTTTGTTGGTTCAACGACAGGTCTCAGAGAACATAAGAGAAGGAAACACGAAGGATACTATTATTACTGTAGAGCTTGTGATTTTAAAGATCTGAGCAATGACGTCTTAAAAAATCACATCAAAGAAAAACATGATGGTCGTGGGTTTGCCTGTAATCTTTGCAGCAAAGGTTTTCATATCAGAGCAAATCTTGACCGGCATGTGCGGAATGTGCATAAGAGAGAGATTTATACATGTGATAAATGTGAGTACTCAGCCAAGTCCAGCAGTTCTTTAAAGGAACACAATGATAGTGTTCATTTAGGTCGACTTTATAATTGTGATAAATGTGATTATGTCGCAAGTAAACCTTCACAGCTAAGAAATCATAAAAGCAGGCATGTGACAGAAGAAGATGGGGATAAACTAAGATCATTTATGTGTGATCAGTGTGATTATGTAGCGTCTAGTTTCAATGTTTTTAAAGCACATATAAAGAACAAACACGATAAATCGACTAAATACTCCTGTGATAAGTGTAAATACTCAACGTTTAACAAGCTTAATTGGACAGCGCACAAGAATCGGCATAACAGCGCTATGGTGCTTTGTGATCAATGCCCCTACGTTGGGAAACCCATTTCTCTCAAAGTTCATGTGCAAGTTCATCATGATAAAGTTAATTTTCCCTGTAATTTATGCAGTTATTCAGGACAATCAGAAACACATTTGAGACTGCACACAGAGTCTGTTCATATGGGAATCAAATACTTTTGTGATATATGTGGGTTTGCAGCGTCTACAACCACTAACTTGAAACAGCACAAAGATTGTAAACACGATGATACTAAATATCCCTGTGATAAATGTGGATATTTAGCCTCGACAAAATATCTCCTGAGAAAACACATAAAAAAGAAGCACAGTTGCCCAGTAAATACTAAAAATACGCCATCAGTCAAAGATTAAGCGCAGAAATCTAACAGTGAAGATGGTGCTATGGAAACGCCTCACCACGGAAATGCCTCAAAAAAAACGGACTCATGAAACTAATTTAATGCCGTCATCTCTTAACTTAAAATTGATAATACTATATTCTAACGATATTCAAAGCCATGGCCCCAGCGCTCGGCCCTCTAGCATGTCCTACACGCAGCGCACGGCCCCCCTAGCCTGTCCTAGTCGAAAGGCTCGGCCCCCTAGACCGTCCTAGCCGCAGCACTCGGCCCCCTCCTTAGCCGGCGGCGTAACCTAACCTATCCTAATTTAATGCTTTAAATTATTTTTTAAAAATTAAATTGTTTGAAAATGAGCGAAGACGACATTAAATTAGTGTTAAGAGTCCGTTTTTTGAGGCATTTCCGTGGTTTTAAATTTTTATATTTATTAAAGTGTTAAATTTTATTTTCAGAATAAAATGTCGGAAAGACAGAAACTTCTGAAAGACACCCAGGAATTTGAAAATAATAAAACAAATATATATATTAATAGGCTTTTTTTTTGCTTTATAGAAGGTTGAACATACTAATGCTTATTGCTTTTATACTAATTGCGTTTTTAGGTTTTTAACACTTCCATTTTTATTGACAATCCTTTAAAGGTATTTTTCTTGTCTTTTTTTCAGTACAATGAATAGTGATACTTAAAAAGTATATCTAGAGTAAAATATAACCAATCACAAAATATATCAATAATGAAACATTCATGTTAAACCAAGAAATATATTCGAAGTTTTCATGTTCAGAAAAAATGCTTTATAAACCACGAATAGTAAATTCAGGAGCGTACGAGGGCTTTTGTTTAGTGATAGTAATAAGAAAATGTTCTAATCATTTGAGTCGACTTGGTGACATGGAAACGCATCAACACGGAAACGACTCAACACGGAAATGCCTCAAAAAAACAGAATCATAAAACTAATTTAATGTCGTCTTCTCTCAACTTAAAATTAAAAAGACTGATTTTCACAGCCATGGCCGCAGCGCTCGGTCTCCTAGCCTGTTCTAGCCGTAGCGCACGGCCCCCTAGCCTGTCCTAGTCTCAGCGCTCGGCCCCCTAATAGCCATCCTAGCCGCAGCGCTCGGCCCCCTTTGTAGCCTGCGGCGCAACCTAACTTACCCTAAATTAATGGTAAAATAATTGTTAAATCTTTTTAATGTTAGAAGACGACATTAAATTAGTTTTATGATTCTGTTTTTTTGAGGCATTTCCGTGTTGAGTCGTTTCCGTGTTTCTCCTTATAGACGCAACAGATAGAAGTAAGATTAGTAGCTTTTTTATCGCATCAAGCCTATACCCCCTTTCATTTTTCGCGAACACTCCCTTTAAGCATCTAATTGCATGGGTCTTAACTGGCGTCGATCGGAAAATAGGGCTTGCTTGTGATCCTCATATCAAACCCCATTTCTCAAATATTAATGTAAACATTAAAAATTATTATTATTTTCAAATTAAGAGTATAAAAGTTGTGACTGATGATAAGCAAATATTGAAGCATATAATGATTGATATTCTTAACCTAAAACAAGGAATGGAAGATAACCTACTCCTAATCCAACAAATCAACCTGATGATACAGAAGGAAGGAGAGGAGCAGAAGGGGTTAGATGACGTGATCCATGCTGCCCAGCAACATATTGACTCCATCAATTCAATCTATACACTTGGGGTTTCCTGGCTAAAAGATGATACTGATTATGCCGTAAACTTTAGAAGGGGTAAGCCATTATTTTATATTTTAAACCATTAAAGTTTTTGTATTTGAGAAAAGTGGGTTCAGTAACTATTGATAACTTAATGCTCGACTAAGCTTAAAATATTCAAAATCTGAAAATAAAAGTATCCATTTTTATCGTCTCAAATTTTTGTGATTTTTTCTGTCCAAATTGGTACATTTTCAAAAATAATAAATACATTTTTGCTGGGCAAAATTTGTCATCTTTAATAAACCTTACCTGGGGTCATGTGAGTTGCCATATAAATTTGGGCCCTATTAGTTCAGCCGTTTCGATCTGTATTGGACACAGGCAGACAAACGAACAGACAAGCCAAATATATAAAATATATATATTGTAGATTGACAATATAGCAACCAGATAATTCTGTTAAGCATTTGCTCATTCGTTGAAACTCATTTGATTTTGTATTTGTGGTTTCGTTCAACTTTTTTAGTTTACTTTCAATTAAGATTGGTAAATTTAAAATTCGGTGATAGTGATGGACCAAACCTCTGCAGAATAAAAAAGTAGATGTTAGTTCCACATTTATTAAAAATATATTTCGTTCTGGGTTGACCCTCGTCAGTTCTTCAGATTGTTTCTGTCACAAAGTTTAAAAACAAAGATTGGTAAATATTTTTAGACGATTCTCTTCAATTAACACAAACAGAGAGTACAAGAGAAGAAAGTAATCACGTGAGCCTGGAGAGTATTGAAAATCCAAATAACATAGAGAATCCAGATAACATTGAGAATCCAGAGGAGAACATAAAGAATCCAGAGGAGAACATAAAGAATCCAGAGGAGAGCATAGAGAATCAAGAGAATGAGAATACTGATAAAAATGATGAAACGAAAATGGATATGGATGAGGTCATAGATCCAAGAAGTATGCTTGCTCTTGAGATCAAAGAGGATTCGGAGAGAAAAAAACAAGTTTCAGGTAATTAAAGTTCTTTAGAGAATCTTGATAGTTGATACCATTCCTGGGTTGGATCATAATTGACTCCAAATTCGCCAATTTATCTTAATTACCCAAGGAAATGGAGGGTCACATGAAAATCTTGTAAATCTTTTTGGTTAACGTCGTAAGTGGTATTTTCACGCAACAGTAAATCCTGGCGACCTAAAAACGAAGTCATTATGACTAAACGTCAAGTGATACATCCTGTCAACGTCTTTACATTGACAGCGCTCCTTGATTATCAGGGAGTTATATGAGTTGTATAAGTAGGTCTTCTTTTGCCCCATTAAATGTTGACAGTCGTCTTTTCCTAATGAATTAAATATTTTTTATGTTTTCTAGATATATTGTGCAAGGTTGAAGTAAGCGACACATGGTACGATGAGTGCTCTTCTGATTCCGGAGAATTTGTTGGACAACTTACCAAATCTGGAAAGATTAAGAGGGGATCGTTGATACAGTCTCCTTGTGATCAATGCTCATTTGTGGCAAGTTCTAAATCTAACTTAAAACACCACGTTCTAACGGTGCACACTGAATATAGTGCTTGTGATTTATGTGACTTTGTCGGCTCAGTAAAGGGAGTTAATGTTCATAAAATTAGAAAACATGATGGACACCAATTCTCCTGTTTAGTATGTGACTTTCAACATACACAAAACGACGTGTTAAAAACACACATTAAGGAAAAGCATGATGGACGTGGGTTTCCTTGTAATCTCTGTGAAAAAGCTTTTCATATAAAACCTAATCTGAGTAGACATGTGCAGAACGTACATCAAAAAGAAATATATTCTTGTAGTCAGTGTGATTACTTTGCAAGAACTAAAAATACTCTGAAGGACCACATTGATAGTGTTCATTTGGGTCGACAATATAATTGTGATAAATGTGATTTTGTGGCAGAAAAGGCTGATCACCTTAGAACACATAAGAAGAAAACTCACAGCACAGATGATAAATTAACAAAATATTCTTGTGATAAATGTGAATATTCAACATTTAAACAAGCCAATTGGTGGGCGCATAAGAATAGACACAAGCGTGCTCTGGTTCTATGTGACCAATGCCCCTATGTCGGTAAACCAGCAAATCTAAAAGTACACATTCAAGTTCATCACGACAAATTTAATTATCCATGTCATTTATGCAATTATCTTGGACAAACTTTGACACATTTGAGATCACACACAGAGTCTGTTCATATGGGTGTAAAGTATCATTGTGATATATGTGGGTTTGCAGCGTCTACAACCACTAACTTGAAACAGCACAAAGATTGTAAACACGATGATACTAAATATCCATGTGAGGAATGTGGATATTTAGCCTCCACAAAATATCTCCTCAGAAAACATATTAAAAAGAAGCACGGTGTCCCAGTAAATGCTAATAATGTGCCAGTAGTTTAAGAATAAAACCAAAGGGTTTAAGCAGAAATATTGTCAGAGAATTAATTATTTTGTCATGTTTCATCCATGTTTCATCCATGTTTCATCCATGTTAAACCATATTAAGCCTTCTTAACTGTTAAAGTATAAAAAAAGTTAAATTTTATTTTCAGGGAAAAATGTCAAAATCGGGTTTAGAAAGGGAGAAGATTATAAAAAACATTCAGGAACTTGAAAATAATAATTTTAAGACATTTAAATTTTTTACCCTGGTTATCCTTAAATAGAGGATTATAATTAATAACATGAATAAGATGGAACTGTTTTGAAATTCTTTTAATGATTGCATATTGGATAATTTGCTGAGATAATGCTACACATGGATTTTAAATGTAATTTTTGCGAGAAAAAAAATATTGTGTTACGTTACACGTTTTAAACCCAAGTATTAATTGAAACATTTAAGCAAATATTATGCAACGATTTATTTACATTTTCTTATCAACGCCCATTTTCTAAAATATTGTATAATTAAAACTAAAAATTTAAAGTTTTTATACCCGTGTTATTATTTTTCTATAAATTAGAGTATAGAAGCTGTGACTGATGATAAACGAGTATTAAAGCATATAATGATTGATATTCTCAATCTAAGGAATGGAATGGAAGATAACCTACTCATAATTCAACAAATCAACCTGATGATACAGAAGGAGGGAGAGGAGCATAAGGGGTTAGATGACGTGATCCATGCTGCCCAGCAACATATTAACTCTATCAATTCAATCTATACACTTGGGGTTTCCTGGCTAAAAGATAATACTGATTTTTCTTTAAGCTCTACAAAGGGTGAGCAACAATTTCATACTTCATATTTCATACTAACAGTAACACTTGTAATATAATAAGAGTTTGAAACAGGCATAAAATAAAGTTGTTTGATTAAAAGAAATAAAAAAAAATATAAAAATACTAGCTGAAATAAATAAGCCATAACATAATAAGAAAAAGTTCTACATCAAATACATCTTGGGGATAATTCTAAGTTTACTAATGCGTTAGCAATTATTTAGGTTTTCCATCTTATACTTGATGTTTTATCTAACTTTTTAGTTTACTGCCAATTATGAATTTTGTCTGACTAAATATTTCTAGATCATTCTTTTCAACAAACACAAACAGAGAGCAGCATAGAGGATGGTAATCTGGGGAGCATGGGGAAAATGGATAACATGGATAACATAGAGAATATGGATAGCATTCATAACATCGAGAACATAGAGAAAGTGGAGATGATGAAAAACATTGAACTCAATGAGAACTTGTTTATAAGAAACCTGAAACCCCCGGAGAAAAACAGAGAGGATCCTGAGATACTAGAAACCTCGGTCAGTTTAGAAAACCGTGAAAAAGAGAATGTTGAAGAAAATGATGATATCAAAATGGATATGGATGAGTTTATAGATCCAAGAAGTATTCTTGCTCTTGGAATAAAAGAGGAGTCGGAAAGAAAAAATAGAATTTCAGGTAACTATTTGATACCATTTCAAGGCTGGACACAGATTTTATCCAATAAAAATCAAATTGCCTGAACTGATATGGACCAACATTTTCGGGAACATCTCTAATGAACACAGATAAGGTTTCTGGACTGTTAAACTTTATAATTTTGGCCCTGCAAAAAAAATGTCGAAATTTATGAATTTTAAAAATGCACAAATTTTAACAGAAAAATTCTCTAAAAATTGAATTTCACAATGACTGCAAAATTTGCCACTAAAAGAGCAACATTTAAACGCTATATTTGTGAATAGATAACAGATCAAACTTTAATCCATTTTGATTATTTCTTGATATCTTCACCTAATCAATGGTTCCTTATTTATTTTAATGCCTGAAAACCCTAGCAATTGTATTCTTGTTTCTAGATGTTTGTTTATCATGTTATTAATGGTTTTTTTTCAGATAAGTTGTGCAAGGACGAGCTGGATAATTTTGAAGTATTTGATGAAAATTTAAAGAAACAACGGGGAAAATCTAGAAAAAGCGAAAACGGATTGGCAATTCAATATTCTTGTGAGCAATGTTCATTTGTGGCAAGTTCTAAAATAAACTTGAAACATCACATTAAAAGGTTTCACACTGAAGGAAGCACTTGTGATTTATGTGACTTTGTCGGCTCGTTAAAGGGAGTGAACGAACACAAAAGAAGAAAACATGATGGATACCTTTTCTCCTGTTTAGTATGTGACTTTCAACATCCACAGAACGACGTGTTAAAAACACACATTAAGGAAAAGCATGATGGCCGTGGGTTTCCTTGTAATCTCTGTGAAAAAGCTTTTCATATAAAACCTAATCTGAGTAGACATGTGCAGAATGTACATCAAAAAGAAATATATTCTTGTAGTCAGTGTGATTATTCTGCAAGGAATAAAAATACTCTAAAGGAACACAATGATAGTGTTCATTTGGGTCGACAATATAATTGTGATAAATGTGATTTTGTGGCAGGAAGGGCTGATCACCTTAGATCCCATAAGAAGAAAATGCATACTGATGGATCCCATGACACCGGTGCTAACATTGAATCTTCTAAAGACAATTTAAAAGCATTTTATTGTGATCAATGTAATTACGTGGGATCAACCAAAAATGTTTTGACCGCACATATTAAAAACAAACACGATAAATCAACTAACTATGCATGTGATGAATGTGACTATTCCACTTATAACAAGGCGAATTGGTGGGCGCATAAAAACGGACACAAGAGTGCTTTAGTCATATGTGATCAATGCCCCTATATTGGTAAACCAGCAAATCTAAAAGTACACATTCAAGTTCATCACGACAAATTAAACTATCCATGTCATTTATGCAATTATCATGGACAAACTTTGACACATTTGAGATCACACACAGAGTCTGTTCATATGGGTGTAAAGTATCATTGTGATATATGTGGGTTTGCAGCGTCCACAACCACTAACTTGAAACAGCATAAAGATTGTAAACACGATGATACTAAATATCCATGTGAGGAATGTGGATATTTAGCCTCAACAAAATATCTCCTAAAAAAACACATTAAAAAGAAGCATGGTGTAAAACCATTCATATGAAATTTTCAACTCAACTCTTTTTTTTTAAATTCTAGGCTATTTAAATATACGACATATTCCTCAAAATATTTTATTGCAAGAAACTTAAAAAATAGAAATACCAAGAGAATATTTTCGGAGATATTATCTTTCATCTCCTCTTGCTTGAAGTTTTCTCTCTATAAGCGTTAATTTATATAGAGAATTAAAAATTAGAGAGTTTTTTTTAGTAAAATCCCTTGTTATTAAAAATGTTTACCATGATCATTTCATCAGAGCACACTTGAATTATAATTAGAATTAGAATTCAAATCATTTTCTCACTCCAAACGGGTTGAAAAATGTGGGAAAATTAATTTATGCAAAAAATGCATGGAAGGTCTGTAGAATATTTCCAAACCATTACTTTTTCTGATATGTTTTTTGAAATCCTATTCTTAATTAAGGTAGACTAGAGGTTGCAGTTTTAATAAAATCATGATTTATTTTCAGAACAAAATGAATTTGGATGTTTTTTCTGAGCGGTTTAAAATTTTAGAAGATATTCAGGAAACAAAGATATTGAATTTAAGGAATTGAAAAAAAATGATTGGTATTTGGTTAAGTCGGCCAAATTGTTTTACAATAAGTATAATTAAACTTGCATTACAGTTCTTTGACACTTCCAAGCAAGCAAACATTGATGGGTTCACCACGCATTAAGCACCAACTGAATTGAGTAATTACGACTTAAAAAAAAGATTTTACAGGGTTTTAAAAATAAAAATAATACCTAAGTATCTATTATGTAATCAGAGCATAGAAGCTGTTACTGATGATAAACGAATATTAAAGCATATAATGATTGATATTCTCAATCTAAAGAATGGAATGGAAGATAACCTACTCCTAATCCAACAAATCAACCTGATGATACAGAAGGAAGGAGAGGAGCAGAAGGGGTTTGATGATGTGATCCATGCTGCCCAGCAACATATTGACTCCATTAACACAGTGTATACACTGGGAGTCTCCTGGCTTAAAGATGAAATGGGTTACATTCTAAAATTTGTCCAAGGTCATTTTTGATTAAAACGTTTAAAAAGGCGTTTTTTTTTTTGGGGGGGGGGAAGGGTTAGTTTTTTTTTGGCTGGGGTAACTGCAGATAAATAGGATTAATATATATTAATGAAAAATTATTAAACTTGTGGCCCAGTATATTATATAATGGGGTAGATTTGATGCTCGGAAGGAACGGATTCATCAATTTGTTATCATTTGGTTTGTTGAAGACGTGCATAATGCTAGACTCGCAACCAGTTCCTCGTGTATACTATTAAAAATGTAAACAAAAGAATTTTCATGATTTTGTCTGTTTTTAATTGTCGATTTCTAAATTTTTTTATACTTAACATTTTGTTAAAAAATATAGAAAATGTTTAACTTTCAACCGGCCAAACCTTACTAGGGTTGATGTTAGTTACTACAAAAAATTGGGCTTGATCGGTTTACTCGTTTTGACAATTATTTTGATATAATTACAGACATGCCAAATGTATAGATTTTTTTTTTGCCAATCAAACTACAGACAAAGTACCATGACCTCCAGGTTATATAACGATGAAATCAAGTTTTGCAACTGTTTTTAATATCTTCTTAAATTCCTGAAAGGCTATCGCCCAAAACTATTTATTTGCAACCCTTTAAATACAAAATGTTTAGGAGATAATCTTGAAACTATGGCAGATGATGAGGAAATCAATGAAGAAGGAATTAACTCGCCAAACAATGACCTGGAGAATCTGGAGATATCAGAGAATAATAACTCAGGGGTGTATATTTTAAAGAATCAAAATTAAGTGTAGAATCTTTTTTTGGTAAATTGGAGATGGGAGGGGGAATGAAAAATGGGAAATCAAACGGTAAGTTTTTTCATTCTATTTGATACTTTTACCTTAAAATTCACTTATTTTCCCCCGTGCAGTGAAAAAACCTTAAAACATCATCTGTGGGAAAAAATGTTTTAAAGGGGGTGGGGAATAATTTTTCTAGAAAATATACACCCCTGCGATAACTTAGATGATTGCGGAGAAATCAAAATAGAAATGGAAGAATTGATTGAACCCAGAAATCTACTAATGCTGGGGTTAAAGGAGGAGGAGGAGGAGGAGGGAGAAACTAGAATATCAGGTCACAACTTAACAAAAAATCTTTTCAATTGGTTTACGTTAAAACTATAACTTGAATTTCATTTTTAATATATTTTAAAGAAGTGATCAATGTCCCAACTTAGCTAGTTGTCACACATATAGTTTGTTGACCAAAGGTCTAGAAATTGTTGTTTCGGTTTTAGATTTTTTATCATTCTCAAGTTCATTGATTCTTTTTAAATTTTGTTCAATGTCTCAGATTAATGTTGTATACTCATTCACATCACTTTTTGTTAAAAAGACAAAGATTATTAAAGGGAGTGACCGGCTATGTAAGGTAGTTGAACTGAGGACGCAGTGTTGTGGAAAACTTCTTTAGGATTCATTTGAGACATATTTCACTTTTTAAATCTGTAAATCCTATAGTTCAGTTGGCANTTAAATAACGACAACGAAAAATAAAGTAAAAATTATACAGTAATCTAATTAGATGGCTAGGAACATATTTCACAAAAGAAATTTGTCAATAAATCAATGCTAAAATCGATTATTTCGTTTTCATTATTATATTGAATTTCTAATTTTCTTTGAATTTATTCGCAGATTTCTTCAAATTCTTTAAATGTCGTCTTTTCAATAATAATTGTAGAAAATCTGCGCACATCTTTGTGAATAAGGAGAAACTAGAATAATGAGATAATAGAAACTAATAATTGAACAAGATTACTTATTTTCGATGATAAGATTAATTTTTATTTTCTCAAAATGTTCCTAAACTACAGACTATCCCCCAAGGTTTCAAATCACAGCTTGAGGGGGGCAAAAAGGGAGAGGGGTGTGTAGATTCGGTTTTAAGTTCATTATTTATAAAAATTGGATTCTGCAATTTCCGAAAACCCAAAATTTACTAAAAAAAAAAGAAGCCCCTTCTACTGTAGTCTGTAGCTTTTTGTAGAATATTTTTACATTTTATGTCGTCGTTAATTAATAATTTAAAAAAAAAACTAATTCTGAAAGCGTATCCACCCCCATATCAGAAGATCTTTAAAAAGTTAATATGTCTCAAATGAATCCTAAAGAAGTTTTCCACAACACTGCGTCCTCAGTTCAACTACCTTACATAGCCGGTCACTCCTTTTAATCGGAATTGTAATTATGTTTTTTAAATTATTTAAATTCTTTATTCTCAATTTCATTTTTTTGGGGACAAATCGTTACATTTTTATTGATAAAAAAATATTTTAGGCGATGAATTAAAAATGGAAGATAAAATTTTCAACACCAAACAAGAATATCCTTGCACCGAGTGTGAATATGTTGGTGAGCTAAAAAGGAATCTGACGCAGCACATGAAGCGTGTTCACGGTGAAATAAATCCCTGCTTTGAATGTGAATTTTCAGCAACAGCCGAGGTTTTAAAAAGACACACCGAGGTTATGCATTCCAATGTAAAGTCTGTATGCGATCAATGCGAGTACAAGGGCTCTAGGGTGGCCCTGATACAACATAAGAAAAGTAAACATGATGGGGTAAGATATCCCTGTGATCAATGTGATTATATTGCAAACCACGCGTCTCATCTAAAAGTACACAAAGGAAGTAAACACAAGGGTTTGCGATATTATTGCGATCAATGTGAAAGTTCTTTCGGTGCTTTATCAAATCTTAGAAGACATCAACAAACTGTTCACGAAGGAAAGAGATTTTCTTGTAAGCATTGTGATTATTCTGGGTCCCAACCTAGTCAGTTAAAGGAACACATTGATGGGGTTCACAAGGGAATTAAGTTTCACTGTGACCAATGTGATTATGTGGCGAACATGGCAAACAATCTCAGAAAGCACAAGAACATGCACCATTTGAAAGTGATGAAAAGAAGTTTAAAAAGATTTGCCAGTCCTTGTGATTTATGTGATCATGTTGCATCTAATGGGGGTAATTTAAAATTGCACAAAGCTAACATGCACAACACGACAATTTCGTATTCTTGTGATAAATGCAGCTATTCAACATTCTCTAAAGGAAATTGGGGTGCGCATAAACGTACACACGAAAGAAAAGAGTTTCTTTGTGATCAGTGTCCTTATGTTGGGAAACTTTATACCATTTTAAAACAGCACAAGAAGGTTAAACACGAGGGAATAAGAGTACCCTGTGATCAGTGTGAGTACACTTCACCAGACAATACTCATCTCAGACTGCACAAGGAAGCAATGCATATGGGCATTAAATATCCTTGTGATCAATGCGAGTTTGCAGCAACTTCTAAAAGTAATTTAAAACAACACATTGAGAGTAAACATGATAATACTAAGCATCCTTGCAACCAGTGTGAGTACTCTTCAACTACACAATATGGATTGAGAAAACACTTGAAAAGTAAACATTAAGCACGATTAAATTAAAAGTGTGTTGAAAGCCTTGAATATTGTAATTATAGGTCGGGTGTAAGGGTTTACTAATCTTAACATTCTCAACTATTGGCCTAGGAAATTTTGTATACATTTTTTTACTGAATAAAAATAATTAAATTTATTATTCAATATGCATTGATGAATTGTTGATTAAACTTAATACAACTAACAACTAACTAACTATTGATTGCTCATTGATTATGTTTTTATATTTTTATTTTTGTTTCAGAGAAAATTGAATTGAAGATTATTGAAAATGATGGCGTCTGATCGTATTCACTCTGATATTCAGGAACATAATGAAATTTATAGATACAGGGTCAGAGACAGCTGTACCGAATTCGATTAGCCCTTTTTCTTACATTCATGGTTTCTTGCAATTGTAAGCTTGTTTCTCGTTTGTTTTATGGATAATAGATGTCATTTAAAAACATGAAGCAACATTCAACCGTTATGATTTATAGCCCTTAGTCTTTAATTACTTTGGCAAATAATTCTTGTTTCAACACTTTCTCTCCAATTTCAACAATCCGTAACAATCCTAAGATATGAACTTTTGTGTGGAGAATCCTGAATCTTAAACTCTTGATCTCGATATACAATCTGGGCACTTTTGTACATGAGAATCCATGCCTCTACCCGGTTTGACTGCTGCGGCAAATCGAAAAGAAATAAAATTTTAAAAATGGAGATCAATGCTCGATCCTAAGATTTACACAAAAGTGCTTACAGCTGGACACTTTATATACAGACCTTTTTAAATTTAATTAAAACATTTAAAAATGTGTTACACAATCAAGAATATAATTTATAAAAATATTTTAATACAATCATTAATCAGTCTGCTTTACGACGAGTTAATAGAATATAAGTTTCTATTTTTAAATCAACATTCTTTGTGTAAATCAGAGTATAGATGTTTTGACTGATGATAAACGAATATTGAAGCATATAATGATTGATATTCTCAACCTGAGGAATGGAATGGAAGATAACCTACTCCTAATCCAACAAATCAACCTGATGATACAGAAGGAAGGAGAGGAGCAGAAGAGGTTCGATGATGTGATCCATGCTGCCCAGCAACATATTGACTCCATTAACACAGTGTATATACTGGGAGTATCCTGGCTTAAAGATGAAACTGAATTCGCTCTCGGAATAATCCAAGGTAGTAATTGTTTTGGCTTTGTTAAAGATAGTTTTTTTTGCTAATTCAAGGCACCCTTCTACCATACCATTTTAACTTTTATTTGATCAAAAATATGGAAGATATCGTCGTTTAATTTCTGGCATGAAAAATTGTTAAATTCTAACAATTTCCTCCATTATTCCAAGAGCAGGAATGTGTAAATCACTTTCTTGAGAAACCACAATTAAAAAACATCAACTTTTTAATCAGAAGATGATATCTCTTGCATTCTTGATCTGACAAAGTTTTTAAGAGTTCCGTTGTGAATCATACATACTACCCTTTAAAGGGACTGTTAAGGAAAAATGAAAGGGGTTATAGGCTGAAACCTAAGCACTTTAGGAGTTGATCGAGATCTATAAGAGTTATATCTGAGGTTCCTGTATCGAGATATTGATATAAAAATGTGTCAAAATACGAAAATTTCTATTTATAAAATTTCGTTTAAAAATCGCAGGTTTAAAGTTTAACAGATCTTATTCAGCAAATACGCAACCAATCTGAAAACGACGATATCCCAGAGGATCTTAAGAAACTTTGATTTGCTCCTATTATTCTTTGAATTAAATAAATTTTCATTTTTAATAGATAAAATTAATAATATAATTTAAACGCCCGTATCACGTTACCAGAACTCACACAAATGGGGTTTAGGGTAAAGATCCCAGGGCTGCACATGACCAGTATACTGCACTGCCATTGGTGATACTGACGTATAAATTATATAATCAATTAAATCTATTAAAAATGAAAAATTGTTAAAATTCAAATAACAATAGGAGCAAACCTAAGTTTCTTAGGCTTCTCTGGGATATTGTCCTTTTTAGATTTATTGTGTATTTGCTGAATATCATCTGTTTAAACCAACGATTTTTGCTAAAAGATTATATATTATATAAATTTTCGTATAAATTTGACACAGCTTTATATCAATTTCTCGATACAGGAACCTCAGATAGAACTCTTATGGGTCTCTATCAACTCCTAAAATGCTTAGGTTTCAGGATATACCCCCTTTATTTTTTCCTTTACAGTCCCTTTAAATATCCTTTAACAATTTTTTCCCAGACGATCCTTTGATGTTGAGAAAAGAGGAGACTATCAATGATGATTCAGTTGAGAAGTATATAGCAGACAATATTGAAGATACTGAGGAAATAACTGTAGATGTTGATATTCAAGAAGATATAAAGATAGATATTAATGAGCTGGAGATTAGATCAGTCAGCTCAGAATATATCTCACCAATGAATAAAATTACAAAAGGTACAAATATTAGCTGCTTTTTGTTTACTAAGCTTCCCCTTTTTGGGCCTCATCTTGCAAGGTTGGAGCGCCGCGCATCTAGATTTTATAACCTTAATAAACAACCATGATCTGTGCAGTGTGTTGTTTTAGGATAGTTGAATACAAAAAAAACAGCCAGTGTCCGAATTTAATGAATTTAAGCCGCGTCTCAAATCTCACAAAAACCGGTTTTGACTGAGCGCCGGCTTAAATCTTGAAAAATTGAATACAATTTTAAGTGAAACCAACCATATTTGAGCCGTGGCTGAAATTCTTTAAATTCGGCTTCAGGATAAGCTCAAAATATCTATTGATCCAATATCAAGTTAAGGTAGTATTCTGTGTTAGTTAGTTTGTTTCTATGTCCAATCATAACTAGTGAACCCTTTGACCGAGTTGGTTCAAATTTTAATTAAGGAACTTGGTAGAACTAGGAGACGGTTTTTATCTTGGTTTAAAAATTCTGAACTGAGTGGGCACTGACTTTTATGGAGAAAGTTTAGTTTCCAGGCAAAGTTGGGTTCCTAAGCAACTAGTATTCATATATATATATAGATATATATATATATTTATTGTTTTTGACCAGGGTTTTTCTTTTGTAATTTCACTATGGGCTTTATACGCCTGTTGAAGGATTATTGATGTCCATTTCAAGGTAAGATCTGGAGTTTATCTTTAAACATTATAATTATTATTTTCTAGAACCTGAGGTCTGGATGGATCAAGATGAGTGTAAAACTACTCAAAAATATTTTTGTCCACATTGTCACGAAGAAATATTAGACTTAGAAGATTTTAAAACTCATAGACGAACCGCTCATTCTGAGATTATTTTTCCTTGTGACCAATGTTCATATGTAGGCGGAAAAAGTAAACAGTTGAGGACACACATGCAGCGCAACCATTGGGGGTATTTTTATCCGTGTGATATGTGTGAATACACCGGAAGCACATCACATGCAATAAAAGATCATTTGACCAAAAACCATGTAGCGAAAAAACCCGAGCAATCAAAATGTACAGAGTGTGAGTTTGTTGGTTCCATAGATGAATTAAACACGCACAAGATTATTAAGCACGAAGGGGGCCGTTATTCATGTGAAGAATGTGAATATAGAACAAACGATTTATCATATTTAAAACGACACGTTGACAGTAAGCACAAGCTTGTGCGATATTACTGTGATCAATGTGAAAAATCATTTTGTGTTGAGGGGAATTTAAAGAGACACAAACTAAATGTTCATCAAGGAGTTAGATTCTATTGTGATCAGTGTGCGTATTCTGCATCAACTAAATCTCTTCTGAAACAACATGTTGAAGGGGTTCATGAGGGGAAACAGTTTCTTTGTACTAAGTGTGATTATGTGACCCCGATGGCAGATTATCTGAGATCGCACGAATCTATTAAGCACGGAACTAAAAGTGAAGACCAGTTTTTATGTGATCAATGTGAGTATGCCACACACTCAAAAGAATATTTAAAGCGTCACATGGAACGTCACAACGGAATTTCTAAATCCTGCAACCAGTGCCCTTATGAAGCAACAAGTATGCTTTATTTAAAGAATCACATTAAAATTCATCATGAAGGCAATCGGTATCCCTGCGATCAATGTAAATATTCTGCTACAGGTTCGAATAGTTTAAAAAGACATGTTGAAAGTGTCCATATGGGAATAAAATATCCCTGTGATCAGTGTGAACACTTAGCATCGACAAAGTGGAAACTGATTGCGCATATGAAGGTTAAGCATGGAGATTCCAAATATCCCTGCTCTGAGTGTGATCATGTGGCCACTTCAACGTATGGTTTGAAAAAACATACCAAAGAGAAACACAAATGATAGATTTTTTTGTATTTGGAGTGTTGATTTTAAAAGGTGGAAAAGTTAACATTTAACACCTTAATTGCTCCGTTTCAGACCATCTTCCTGTAAAGCAAAGCTTAATCCTCTGTAAAAGTGTTTAGTTTAAGATGTGTAGTTAAAATACCGAATATTTTGGTTATGGTAACTTAGACGAATTTTGTCATTACATAAGTTTTTTAAAACAAAAGTAAATTGTAAACAGATGAATTGTAGATTCTAAGACTTTTAGCTATGTTTAAGTAGATGTGTCGATTCATTGTTTAAAATCCTGAGTTATTTAAAATATTTAGCTTTTTTAACTGTTACAAGAAAATATGATTAACAAATATGATAAACCTTTCCGCTTCCTCCTCATCTCCAACTTTTCTTGGGATCTCATGAATACAATTGAAAAGAACTCATTTTATATGATTGAACATTTTTTACATGATAAAATATTACTATTGTCGCTTTTCTTCTGATGATATATTTTAAACATTTCAGCAAAAAATGGAATTGAAGTTTGAAAAAACCCCGATCTCAAAACACAGAATCAATCTTTTGCATGATATTAAGGAAAGCAAAGAAAGTTATTCAAAATTTATAAAATCTCAAAATTAATTCTAGAAAAATTTCAAGAAAATTGTTTTTCTAACAACTTTTCATTTATCCAAAGCACTGCCATTTTTGTTTGTACTTACAAAAATTATATTTATGCTAGGAAATAAATAAAAAAAATTTAAGAAAATTTTTACCAAACAGCAAAGAATTTTTTCTTCATACTTTCGAAATGATTTCCCCCCCCCCCCCTAACCCACTGTGTATTTTGTAAGCTATAATTTCCTGCCACAATATAACATATGTTTTCTTTGCTTGTTACTAGAGTATAGAAGTTATGACTGATGAGAAAAAACTGTTGAAGTTTATAATGATTGATATTCTCAACCTAAGGAATGGAATGGAAGATAACCTACTCCTAATCCAACAAATCAACCTGATGATACAGAAGGAAGGAGAGGAGCAGAAGGGGTTTGGTGATGTAATCCATGCTGCCCAGCAACATATTGACTCCATTAACACCGTGTATACTCTGGGAGTATCCTGGCTCAAGGATGATACTGATTTTGCTCTTAGTTTTATACAAGGTAATTTGCTGGAAGAGGGCGGATCAAAGTGGCACTAATAATTTTCCAGGAGGGGGGGGGGGGGGGAGACTGAAACTAATATTAAATCATTGCCTTTTAAGATACGTCAGCTGTCAGTGTATCTACCGACGATGATAAAGATGATGATGAAAATATTGACGAGTTGGATAATGATCTGATCAAAATAGAACTTGAGGAGCTTGAGACTACTGAACCTAAGATTGGTGAGGAAACTGTTGTAAAGGAAGAATCCATGGATATAAATAATTTAAAAGGTAAAAAACAGTTTTTTGACCGTTTTTAAAAATTAAAAAATTTGTCAAGATAGTAATTTTTTTAAAATATGACGTTGAAAATTTATGTAAATAGATGATTTTGACAAAGATCATTTTAATTTTTGCTCTCATTTCACATTGTAGTGCGTGAGTCAATGTTTTTGTGGTTAAATGCACATATTTTTTGATCTTATAAAGATATATATTTTCCACTTTTAAAAATTTTTTTTTTACTTGAGATTTGATATTGATGATTAATTATCGTATATGTATTGCCGATTTTTTCTCTTTTTTGGTTGGGGGGGGGGGGGTAAGAGTGATTTTTTATATTATTCGTTTTTAGACAAAGAGCTCGAAATACGGGAAGCCAGCTCAGTTGAGAATACAGACTCCTCAGAAGCTTCTCAAGCTGAGACCAGCATATCATTACCCAGCTTTCTATCTTGTGATTTATGCAAGTTAGTTGTAAAGACAAAAAAGAGTTTAAAGCTGCACAAAATCAAGGTGCACAAGGTTAAAACTTTTGCATGCAATCAATGCAGCTATTCAACACATTTATTAAAACTTCTGAAAGCACATAAAACAACGCATAACGAATCTGAGCCCTATTCGAAGTTAAACTTCGATGGGGGAGATCAACCTGAAAGATTTAAATATTCATGTTCAACTTGTGATTATAAATCTCTGCACAAACGACACATAAACGAGCATTATATGAACATACATATGGGTGTTAAATACCCCTGTGATAAGTGTGAAAAGAGCTTTAGCATTAAAGCTAACTTAAAACGTCACATAAAGAGTGTACATTTAGGAGTTAGGTATACATGTAATCTCTGTGACTATTCAGCCACTAAACCATGTACACTGAAAGAACACATTGATGGAAAGCATCATGGAACTAAACAGATTTGTGATCTTTGTGATTATGTCACAGATGTAGCTTATACACTTCACAATCATAAATACTTGAAACATGGACTAGGCAGGATAAAGATAGATCTGGAAAAGCCCCTAATTTCTAAAAATAAAAGTGAATTTTCTTGTGAACAATGTGATTTTGTGACACATTTGAAAGGTAGTTTTACACAGCACATAGCCAGACACTCGGCACAATATATCTGCGATCAATGTCCGTCTGTTTACAAAACAAAAGGAGAACTCCAGCATCATATCAGAAGTAAGCACGAGGGTTTAAGATTTCCCTGTGATTTGTGTCAACATGAAGCGCTGGATAAAGCTCATTTGAGAGTTCATAAGGAGGCAGTTCATTTGGGGAAAAAGTATCCCTGTGATATTTGTGGGTTTGCTGCATCCTCCAATGGGAATTTAAAACAACACAAACAGAGTAAGCATGATACTACCAAGCACCTATGTGATAAATGTGAATATGCTGCGACAACTCATTATGGTTTAAGAAAGCACATAAAGCGCAAACACGAAAGTTTAACCAATGGTTCTCCAAGTAGCTGAGTTGTTCTTACAAATTATAAACTACTGAGCTTAACACTTTGTGTTGCGAAGCTTTGATCTCCATTTTGTGCATATTATGTAGATTTATTTAATTCCTCTTCGATATCCCGAGGTCGTCATACCAGGAATAACTTTAATATAGAGATCAAGCATTTACCCTGAAGTAAACACACTGATATCGATATCAAGTGTTCAAGATTAGCGATATTCCATACAAAAGTTCCGACATCTGATTGAAATTTATTTTAATGGAACACTTTTTTTCAGATTAAAATGGAGCTGTGTGAAACAGAAGATGGCAGCCTTGAACAAGATAGATCTAGTTTATTCCGAGATTTACAGGAATTTTTAGATTTTTTCTTTTTCCTTTCTCGTAGCGGGTAATGGAAACCTGTAATTCTATTTTTATTTCTGTTCAATGAGTGTGCCGTGTGATTTGTGCAGATTTGTTTTTAAAAATCCATTTTATTCAGCAATACTTTAAATCTAATATTTAAATCAGAGTATGAAGGTTTTGACGGACGACAAACGGATATTGAAGCATATTATTATTGATATTCTTAACCTAAAACATGGAATGGAAGATAACCTACTCCTAATCCAACAAATCAACCTGATGATACAGAAGGAAGGAGAGGAGCAAAAGAGGTTTGATGATGTGATCCATGCTGCCCAGCAACATATTGATTCCATTAACACAGTGTATACTCTGGGAGTATCCTGGCTTAAAGATGATACTGAATTTGCTGTTAGATTAACTAAAGGTAAAATGTTAATATCAGCACGAAAAAATATCACTAAGCTACAAGGGTGCTTTGTTCTTGCTCCGATTTTAGCTTATTTAATTTGTCACTTTTTTGTCGTTCTCCAAAAAAGACAAATTTGCGCTGATTACTCTGCTGAAATTGGTGGATTTTCGGTAAGTATTTCGACATTTTTTTTCGAACAAAATTGTGATGATTTAATTGTCAGAACTTTTCCTGGGGTCATTTAAAAAATTACTTTAGAATTAAATATAATGTTTTAGATGTTTATCCTGAAAAGGAAAACGAAGAAGAACCGAAACAAAGGAAGAATCATGAGAACCAGCAGACGCTGAAAGACCATGAAGCGAAAGGTGTTATAGATTCTGAAGATTGTGAAGAAATAAAAATAGAAATGGAAGAACTATTTGAAACAAGGATTGAGTTTAAAGAAGAAACCCCAAAACAAGGTAAAAGTCCCCCCCCCTTCCCTCTCCCTTTCCAACCCTGACAGCGAACTTTCTACGAGTGTCAATAAATGCCTAGATCTTTTATCTTATATTTTTATGGTTTATTTATAAATGTTTTAGAATAATTTCACGAAGTTAGCCTCTCTCTTCCCCGCTGCACCCTGTTTGTTCAGAAGCTTAACTATTAAACAAGAAATTTTAAGAATAAGCAATCTGAAGATCACGCTTTAACCCTCTTTTAAGATTTTCACGTCGATAAGTGATCCTTACCATTTTTTTCAGACGATGTAATTAAGATTGAAGACATTACGAGTTTACATGAAGAGTTTCCATGTACAGTATGTGGTTATGTTGTCAATCAGAATTTAACACAACACATCGAACTTCCCGAGGAGTCTTCTTGTCCGCAGTGTGGATATTCTAAGGCTTGTCTGAAAAATGCAAAGAATCACATTAAGATTAAATGTGATATGTGTGATTATAAATGTTCAAAGGACCAACTGATTCGTCACAAAAGAAGTAAACACGAAGGAGTTAGATATTCTTGTGATCAGTGTGGTTACAAAGCAACTCAATTGGCAAGTTTAAAGGTACACAAAGAAAGCAAACATCAAGGATTACGGTTACAATGTGATCAGTGTGAAAGATCCTTCGGCGTTGCATCGAATTTAAGAAGACACCAAAAAACAGTGCATGAAGGATTGAGATATGCTTGTGAACTATGTGAATTTTCTGCCTCACAACCTGGGCAGTTAAAAGAACACATTGACGGTTTTCATAAAGGATTAAAATTTCCGTGCAATCAGTGTGATTATGTAGCACATATAGCGAGTAATCTAAGAGTTCATAAAAGTAATCATCATTCAGTAAAAAGCAGCCAAAAATTTACCAGTCCATGTGATTTATGTGACCATGTTGCGTCTAATGCAAACAATTTGAAAACACACAAGGACAATATGCACAACACTTCGGTTCTTTATTCATGTGATTCATGCAGTTATTCTACATTTAACAAAGGGAACTATAGACAGCATAAAAATACACATGAAAACACAGAGTTTCTGTGTGATCAATGCCCATATATCGGGAAACGCTTTTCAACTTTGAAACAACACAAAAAAGTTAAACACGAAGGAATACGAGTTCCTTGTGACATGTGTGATTATTCATCGCATGATAATGTGCATTTGCGTCTACATAAGGAAGCAATGCACATGGGTATCAAATATCCCTGTGACCAGTGTGAGTTTGCAGCTACCTCAAAGGGCAACTTGAAACAACACATAGAAAGTAGACATGATGAAGTAAAACATGCTTGTAGGCAATGCGAATATGTGTGTACAACTCAGTATGGATTGAAAAAGCACATGAAAAGTAAACATTGATATTTTTTGTTTGTTATGAATTATTTTTAAATATTTAGTGTTGCTTTTTTGGCGTCTGATTTGTCAGTTTCCTTTCTTGTTAAATATACTGTAAAAATTTATAGAAAATATTTTTTTATTTCGTTATTCCTTCGTTTCTTGAGGATTTTTTTTACATTTAAAAGTCCCACAAAATACTTTAAAGTTTCAAAAATTTTAAGATTTTGCAATATTTTTACATTTTTTTTAACTTTGCCAATTTTTTACCTTGAGAGAAAATATATGCAAAAAAAAACAATAATAGTTTTGGTTCGCTTCTCCCTTATATTTTCTCAAAAGGATAAACATATTGCCAAGTTTTACAAAAGAAAACTTGAACAAAATACAGTACTGAAGTGTTAGACATTTTTAATAACAAATCAAGATATGTACCATTAACTACAGAAAATAAATAGTTAATTTAGTAAAATGTTTTATAAATTTACAAACCATTGCCCTGAGATTTTTACAACGTTTTACATTTTATATCTTGTAACTAACCTACCAGAAAAAAAGAATTGAAGAGGAGAAACTGGAATTTAGCTGTTCAGGTTGCAGAGCTGGAAATTTTTTGTCAGTGGATTTCGAGATAAATGCTTGATTTCCTCCTTTTGTAAATCTGCAGATTAATTCAATCTTAATTTGATAGGCAAGTGTCTAAAATACAATCATTCAAAGTGTCGTTTGCAAAAACTAAATAAAAGCCGGACATTTTGCGTGCCAGTAATTTCCTATTCTTAAATGCTTTTTACAGAACATTTCCTACGTTATTGTAACAAGCTGAAGTGTCCGACGTTGCTCGTGAAATTTTAGAAACATTTTTTTTCAAAGTTAAAGATGAATAAATAGAGTTTGAAAAAGAATCTAAGTAAATTTTTTGTACCCATGTAAGCCCCGTGGTACTCAAGGGTTCCCTAAAAAACAGCTTAATTGGCTCAGCTGTTTGGCCGGCTATAGCTAAATATATATAGATATATAGCAAAGAGCTTTATTATATTATTATATAGAATACGTTATTTAGGCCCTCCTAGTAAATTTAACTTGTTCAATTTGAGATGTTTCTTTTTTATCCTGAAGGGACTGAAAAAGAATTAAACACGACCTTTTATTAGAAAGTGGCATGTTCGATAATTAATGTATTTTAAAACATGAATTATGAATACATGGTTTATTTCATTTGTTGTTTCTTTGCAAAAGTGACTAGCGCATTTCTTGCTTCAAAGATATGAAGAAATTTTAGACTTACACACTTATCAAGCTAGATAAACGACTTTATCTCCCACAAGGGTACCGTGGTAAATCGGACATGCCTCATGAAAGGGTACTATTTCGTTCCTCTTGTTTTAATTTGGGGATGGATGATTAAATCTTTGTAAAACTCTTAACAGGAATTATTCAAATATTTTAGTTGTATAGATAATTAACATTCAGGTGACTGATGTTGGAATATTTATTTAAAATTCATTTCTCGTCTCTTCAAATGATTTGTCTTATTTGTTCAGGAATAGTTGAAGGGGCGCACTATGGCTCAACGTGATAAAAAACGAATTTTTAAGTTTTTTTATACCGCATTTCACTTCATAAAAAAAAATTATTTTAAAAGTAAAGAAGATAATAATTTCACCTTTTTTTACAAAAGCCAAAAAATTATTAAAAATGTTTTTAAGTATTTGAAAGAAACATGTTCTACTTCCGTACTTGGCCTAGAAGAGTCCTTCATCATCAGCCTGTCTGTAGACGGGTTACAGTTATACATCCCAGTTCTATTTTACATCAAGAATCTGGTAGATTATGGATCCAATTAACCAGACAAGAAAAAATAACTTCCCCGAAAACCTTCTTTGATTCACCGAAAAGTATCTAGAATGATCATCCTAGAGTAGTCACTAGTAGAGGTGGTTAACTACCGAAAGTAATAAAAGGATAGATAAAATTGAAACTTGTAAATTTACATAATCATGTATTGTTTCAGTCGTAAACAAAGAAATAAAACTAATGTTTTTAAAATGACAATTGAAAAAATAAAAATAATTTAGTAGCCCAGAGGCAAGGCAGCTGCACATCTAACATTCTACCCAAGTAATGTGATTAAAAAATGTCCTTTATAAAAGTATTCATTCCCACTTTCTGGGAACATTTTATTTATTCAACTTAAAAATATTTCAAATATTAATTAATTTAAAGATTAAATAAATGTCTAATTGTTGTGACGAACTGATGGGCAAATTTCAACTCTAGATAATATGTTATTAGAAACTTTATTAAAAATTACATATTCATGAAGTTGCTCCATATTTATAATCTATCACTAATTAAATATTGCTAAAAGAAGAACATTTTACACATATTTCTCAAACATGCATTGAAAGCTGACTGGATTTAGATTAGTGTTTTTTACTTTAAATATCATGCACCTCTCTGTTATATGAATAACTAACATTTTGGTATATAAAATGGAACTTATTATTTATTGTTAATGGTCAGAATGCATTCTGCATGCTGATCAGAATGCATTCCGGTGAAATTTAACATTATTGATACAAGTTGTAGGTTTATCAGTCAGAAAAACTATAGTTTTAGCTTTTACTTTATATTTACACCACACTTCTATTTTCATCCGTCATTGTTTACATTCTTTTTTAAAGTATTTTATATATATTTTGAGTCACGTCATATTGTTTATAATGGTTTAAAATAGTATATTTTGGTTTATCTGTCTCCCTGCAGTTATTACGTTTTTGCAATTTTAAATAATCCTACTGCATTTCGCGAAAGATGATACCTTTATGAAATTTTAGAAGTTTATTAAAGATCAATGCACTGTGTGTTCAGTTTATAAACGCTTTACATCATTTTGCGCAATGAAAAAAAAAAACGTTGAGAAAAATCACTATTAATTATCATTACCTGAGCATTACAGATTTCCACAAAAACAAATTCTATTTTGCAATTTTCTTGTTAAATAGTGCAAATTTGGGTTATGGGCGCCCTTTGAACTTTAAGAGTATGATATGGAGCATCATTTTTATTGTTTAAAATAAGCCATTTAAGAGGTAAGATTGAATTTATTTTTATGGAAAATAAGTTTAGAAGTTTACATTAAAAGGAATCGTCATTATTTCAATTTGAAACTTAAATATAAAAATCTTTATATATATCTTTGCAAAACGTCGCTGGATTTTTGAAAATCACAATTTCAATGCAGTTGCACTAAATCATATAAAACGAAATAACTGCCGGAAGACTCAAATGCTGTGGTTGTGGCTCATGGCTTCCTGGAAGACAAAAAAGCTAATGTGTTGCATGGAAGGAAATATGTTATGGCTTATGGCCGCCTGCCTTCCTCCGCTCGTCTTATAAAGATACAGTAGGCATAGAACAGTTCATGGACATTTTTATTTCAAAATACCTCAAGCAATTCAAAACAAATTGCTACGTCCCCTGCTAAAAAATGTAAATGTTTAGTTGTAGATTCTAAAAATCCCATAAAAAGTGCAGTTTAGAAGTAAAATAAGAAAACGACAGAAAATTATGTGGTCCGGACGAAAAATAGGTGTAGTCCAGTCTAGTTATTGAGGCGGACTCCCCTAAAAGTTTAGTCATTTCAACACAATTTCAATTTAAAAGTTAAATATAAAGTTTTTTAGATCTTTTGCATATTGCTGAGTTTTTAAATCCACTAAATGTATCAGTTAAAAATGTAATGACTGCCGGAACTTTGAGAGGAAAAAAGAATGGAGCTAGGAACCTTATACTACATTTTATATTCACCCATCTAAACCCAAAGATAATATATATATAGATACGCTGGCAGGTAGAAATTTTGAGGTCTTGAGAAACAGTGCAATCAGCACCTTCTCTGTCGTACGCATGGCATTTTATCCTCTGGATTGTTGCTAATTTATCGCTTTGTTTAAGCGTGATAACACCAAATGCGTACTATAGTATTAACAATGTATACTGCATATTGCACTTAATGAAACAAGTTAATCAATGCAAATAAAACTGAGGTAGGAATTTGACTAGACAAAGTTAAAATGTAAAGTTGTACGTAAATTTACGCAATTTAAATAAAAATTATGACTATAAAAGTACATCGAATCTACGACAAAGTACAACTGATCTGATCATAACATAAACAAAACGCGTACTGTATGTTTGTGTTACCTAGAAATTTAATTTTATTGGTCAAACAGGTCCAGATAGCAACACTTGAACTATACAGGATGCAATACGCGTACTGCATGATTATATAACACAAATGCGTATTTCCTACAGATGGCAGCAGGGGGAGAAAGGAATATAGAAAATAATCAATTTGCTATAGATGTCTCACGTTGCACTTTTTCTCAGAGGTACAAAAATTAGTTGTCTGCTACAAGCAATTTAGGAAGGAGGTTTCTACCTGCCAGCGTATCTATATATATATATTATCTTTGACTAAACCTCAGTCAGCTTCATGAAAGATCTCACAGTGATCTAACAGGATCTCACAGTGGTCTACTGCACACTCCTAGTCTGGAAAATCTCTCGAGTATGGTTTAAATCTAACTTGTGTTAAACGTTAGATTACCAATAATTATTTTGCAGACAGAAAGAATCTAAGGACGACTGAATGTATCGTTTCTGTACTTCGTTTTACTGTTGCTCTTGAGGGATTGTATCTAGTTCAATTCAAGAAGGTGAATACCACTGAAATTTCAATAATTATTCTTTAAAAAATAAGATAGTTCCTGACCTGACTTTAAACTAATTCAGGAATATACTGATCTACATGCTTTCATTCTACGGAATCAAGGAAGAATTGAAGTCTGCAGTGAAGGAAACACTTGGAAGGTTATTATCTAATAAACCTAATCAACATCAACTCTGTAAACAATGAAAACTTTTAGCTTATAGTTCTTTGCATTCGCAGGAGAAATTATACCGACACGCGTAGAATTTGAAGCCTGATAAAACCCCAACAGAAGACATTTGGATCAGCGTGCGAGAAAACCAAAACCACCATCAAATGGAAGATTTGAATTGACAAGCTTGAGACATAAATGTATTTCGTAGAATATTCTCGTGTGCCTTTTGAAATAGATGTTTTAAGCTTTTATAAAATCCTCATATTAAGTTTCGAATCCATTATCTGGTCGTAACATTTCACCAGAGACCACATTTTGAAATTTTCGATTTCAACGTATGTCAAGCAATTTCATCTGAGCTGAAAACTTTAGAAAGGTGGATATCGAGATTAATGGGTGATCCTCGCTTTTTCTTAATTTCGAGACTAATCTAATCTTGTACTTGTATCCTGAAAAGTGTATAAAATTCAACCAATCAGAGTCGCGTATATTAAGCCGATAACTTTGAAACTTTAAGCGCCATTTGAGATTTATGTACAGAAACGAGAGGGACTCTAATTTTGAAAAACCGGTTTTTGATTTTTCTCTGCTATATCCAAGAAAGAACGGGTTAAGAAGAAAATCAAAAGTGTGACCATTGGATACTCAGATTAAGTAATCGGGATTAAGGATATCTCAGCTCTGTTCATATTATTTTAACCATTCCTCACATTTAATCATTATTTCATGCTAAATATTTTTAGATTTTCAGCTTCACAGCTTAACGATGATAAAATAGCTGAAAAGTTTCATAAGAAAATATTTTACCTTAAGTGACATCGTTTAATACGTTTTATAATTTCTCTTCCATAGAGGGTAACACCGGAAGAAAAGGTTCCAAACTTTAATGAAAATATAATTTAACTAGGTACTCATTTACTTACACCATTTAGCCGCACTATTTATTTTTTTATTTTTTAGGTAGTGAAAATACAGCATTTATTACATCTCTTAGTAAATAAATAAACAGTATGTATAATTGTATTCATTTGAAAGTAAAAATAACTTTCAACGACATTTATCCCATAACATGATATATTTAAATATCGTTACAGTAAAAGCGCACTGGTGCAATAATCTAACTATGATTACATTATATATTATACTAAACAGTTAATATCAGAACTTCGGAAACCAACACACCAATTTTGCTTTTTTGAAGTTTTCTCGCTCTTTTTTAAAATCATCCTATCTCAGCAACATGACATACTCAACTCTGATCAATAAAAAGTCTAATCCAACCATGTGTTAAGTGTTAACCCACAAGGTTTGGGCTAACGTGATATTTTCAATGGGTTTTATACGGTTAAACCTAGTTTTTAGCAATTGTAAAAATAAACAAGTTAATGGCTAAACATGAAATACGCGGGAACAGTTAAAAGAGCTTCATATAATTATTCAATTGAAATACTTAACATAATCAGTAGGGTTAGAAAACGAAATTATATAAAGTTCATAGTCTTCCAAGTTCTGGGTAAACTGTATGATGAGTAGAAGAATATATTATTTACTATACATTCTAGAGCTATTCAGCCCCAGATTGTAATTTCAACTACTACACTGCAAACTAGTATGTACTGCACTACAAACTATTATGTAGTGCACTGCAAACTAGTATGTACTGAACAAAAAAGATTTTTACCGCACTGCTAACTATTATGTGCTGCACTGCAAACTTGTGGTACTGCACTACAAACTATTATGTACTGCACTGCAAACTAGTATGTACTTGTTTAACATTAAGTAGAAGAATCAGCAGGAAGTAGAGAAGGATGTATACAAGGTCGAACTCCGCCCTTAAAACAAAATAATTTGATGAAAGTTTCTTCCTTATATCTTTACAACCTGTTAATATAAACTTTCATATTTAACTAATTGCTCGTATCGTAGTTCAGTTTTGAAATATCAAAAGTCTACATCAGTCAATTCGAAATTTTTCGGGAACATGAATTTAGCTAAGGAAATCCATGCAATTTTTTCACGAACGGAATGCAAAAAATTCGTTAATAATGGTTTTCTTCGAGAAACAATTTTCCCATATCGCTGGAAACCCTGCATTCGATGTGACAAAAAAATATCCAAATTAAATGAAAACTTTTATCAGAAAACTGCAGTAGCAACATTTATTGATCAGGATAGATTTTAAAATGTATTCAGTCCTCTATAAGGCAGCAGGGCTGACAATTCAAAATATATTACAGTTTGTAGTAAGAATTTGGTAGTTGGTGTATTGGACCAGTTATCATGGGGGGTCTATTCAATACATAGTAGATGCACGAGGACTGAGGAGTCATCAATAAATTAATAAGACTAAATAAATTCCACACAGTCGTCAATAAAATTTCATTTTTTGATGGTAACCCTGTACACTGAGGACCAGCCTGCCTAATTTTGTTGAAGAAATGCGCCCAGGTCAACTCTGTACATACTGGGGACAGACTTGTACGAGTTAACACTGGCCTAGTATCCTTGTACCGGTTAACATCATGTATGTACCTGTGGGATAGTAACAGTTCTGGTGAGTTCGTCTAATTCTGAATCATGTTTCAGCGTGAGAAGAATAGAACGGGGAGTGATGCGCGCACGGTTATGATATCTTAACAAAAATATAATAGATTTAAATATCATTACTTTCAAGAACTATGAATGGAACAGTGGATTGGAAGAGTGCTAATCTGCCGTATCTCGACTTAATATCCGGCGCTATTAATCCCCGTCGACTTTTAAAGATATCAAAATTGATTTAGAAGTTCAAACCTCATTATTTCTCGCAATGATGTTTCTTTCCCCCCCCCCCAAAAAAAAGTATTTCTCTGCCTTAACAATTTCAATGTCCCAAAAACATTTTTAAGATTTAAACCTTGTAAAATTTCCCGAAAGCTCTAGTATTTCAGCCACTAGGTACTCCAATACAGCAGCCATATACACCCCTGCCCCTACACCAATATGACGTGCATACCTAGACAATCAGAATATTATTTTTTAATTTATATCTAATGAGATATGAAAGGGGGTATAGAACAGATTTTTTAAAAGTGAATTCTGAAGGATTACCCAGAACCAATCCATTTAAGCTAAAAAAATAAAGACAATATATGCCCCTATCTAATTAGTTTACTGATGAATTGTTAATAAATCGTCGTTATTGTTATTTTTAAAAGATCGATTCTCAAAACGTAACCACCCAAAATGATTGATTTTGAACGTTGGCTTTGCGCTCAAACTCCGTTATTATACACCATTGTTTTATATGCCTCAAATGAATCCTAAAAAATTTCCCCACAATACTACATTCTCAGTTCAACTACCATACATTGCCGGTCACTCCCTTTAAACAGTTTTAGGCCGTACTTTTAACCCCAACTTTTCTGGGTAACCCTATATGTTTTAAGTGCCGATGAAAAATTAAAATAAATGAATGTCAATTTGGATTTCCCCCTTCTTCAAATTTTCGCGACCACTCCCTTAAAAAGTTTTGACCTGCCCTTTTTAAGTTTACTGATCATCCTCGTAACAGGGAATACTATTCCAGCTTTAGCAGATTTACCGACTCTTTTCTAAACAAATATAAAAAGTTACAAGCAATTATTTTTAATTGATTTGTCTTTAACTTAGATGCTTATAATATTTGTGCTAAATTCAAAACCCAAGTTATCTATTTGAACTTTGCCAGCAGCGAGTTGACTGTCAGTTTGCCATGTAATGTCTTTCCAGGCGGCTTTTTGCCATGTGACAACTTTACCATGCGGCTTTTTGCCATGTGACAACTTTACCATGCGTCAACTTAAATATGTTTCAAAGTTGTTAAGCAACACTATGCCATTTAACCAAGTTGCCAGTTAACCATTTTGCACATGATTGAAGTACTTGTGCATTGATCTTCTGTAAGACTAAGAATTCGGAATAAGTCGAGAACTTATCAAAAGGGTTTTGAACGAGGGGGGGGGAGGCAAGCCGCATCATTACAGCCTCCATCCCGCAATTGACTATTCATATTTATCTGATTTAGATAATTTCAAACCAAATCGCACTTAAAACTGCATTATCACTGGCAAGACTAAATTTCTCTCTATCTTCAACATCTGCAGGTGTGTAGAAAATATACTTTTTAGGAGAAAATTAAGCATTAATTAAAAAACATTTTGCTGGAAGATGTATGGGTGTGACAGGAAGCGATACGGATGAGCGCAGTATGAGTCACTCGGAGGATGGAGGCTATATGGGTGCGGCTTGCCTCCCCCCCCCCCTCTTTGTACTCTAATTATGAACGAACCTTCTTGGCAAAGCGAATAATATCTAACTGGGGTTCAGTATTCGCATCAAACAGTTTCCGCTTAACCAACTCTGTTCTGGATTCATCAACCTAAGATAAATATGAGAGTAAAAGTAAGGAAGGGGGGATAGCATCAAATATAAAAGCTGCAAAACTCGGGACATATTTCGAAAGCTCAGTAAATAGTTTTTTTTAAACATAACTAAGATCATAAACAATGTGTGAAACTTTGAAAAGGCAGAAATGCCGGACATGAGAGATCAAAGTCTACTGAAAATAGGTTTTAAGTTAAAATAGTTCTACAACTGTCCTAATACTTTCTAAAAGTATTAGAAAAAATTAGAAGTAATGAAAACCACATTAACCTAAAATATTCGGAAATTTTAAGGGACACAAAAAACTTATCAGATGATTCACACTGTACGCAGTGTTGTAGCAGAAATTCAAGCGGTTTTCAATAGATTTCCACAATTTACATGGAGAACCAGGACACAAAAGAACTAGTGAAGATGAGCTCCAGAGATCTTCCATCGTCAGGAGAGGAGGAAGAAACAGACATAGAAGAAATAGATCAAGGCCAGATCTTGTCACAAACCAGAGACCATAAGCGCCGCCGCGGGTCCAGGAATCCACCCAATGCAATTGAGAAGAAGATGAAGTAAAATTATATATCTAAATGCTTTGAGTCTGATAAAAGAAATAAAAGATCTTGCGATTTTATTAAATGCCAACAAACCTGATCTGGTGCTAATTTATGAATCATGATGCAATGATGATTTTATTGATCCCGACTTGAGAATTCGCAATGACACCCTCCATGGTATTGAAGGAGGACTCTGTAGAGGATATGAAATCCCCGAAAGAGGATTATGAAATCCGCAAAGGAGTTGTGTCGGACCCTGGAACCGGAGAAGACCTTCTCAACTTCCTCTCCTTTTACACACTCGTATTTATCATGTATCTATAAACAGAAGCAATAAATGTACTTCAAAAGTGGTGACCCCAGACAACAAAAGAACCATGGCCGAAAACACAGCCTCCTGGTCAGAAACAGCTCAAGAATTGGACGAGGATGACAATCTCAAGCTTAAACTTCTTGTCCACGAGTTCACTATTCCTTCGTCCTACAATCAGCAACTCCTGGAGCTGATAAGCTAATCCTCAGCTACTCCTGGAGCTAATAAGCAAAACCTCAGCTACTCCTGGAGCTAATAAGCTAAANTATTTTGGCGTTAAAGCTTGGAGTCTAATATGATATGGGACACTCTGTATATAATAGGCTAAAATATTATGGCTGTTAGAAAAAATATAAAAGAATATGTTGTTGAGAATATGAAATCCCCGAAAGAGGATTATGAAATCCGCAAATGAGTTGTGTCGGACCCTGGAACCGGAGAAGACCTTCTCAACTTCCTCTCCTTTTACACACTCGTATTTATCATGTATCTATAAACAGAAGCAATAAATGTACTTCCCGGAGCTACTCAGCTATACAGCTACTCCCGGAGCTAATCAGCTACACAGCTACTCCCGGAGCTAATCAGTTACACAGCTACTCCCAGAGCTAATCAGCTCTACAGCTACTTTTGGAGCTAACCAGCTATACAGCTTCTCCCGGAGCTAATTAGCTACACAGCTACTTCTGGAGCTAACCAGCTATACAGCTACTTCTGAAGCTAAAAGCTAAAAAGATACTCCTATACCATACAAATGGAACCAACAAGCAACTCAGATCAACTTTATCCTATGGAACAGCCTTCCAAAGCAACCTATTTCCAATGACTTCTCAAATGATTCCATATCAGTCTCAACCTCCAATGGATCTAGAGACTTGGGGGGGACCTATGTAGCAGCAATAATTCGAGTCTAAATGAAACTTAAGAATGCTCGAGAATTATGAGGAAAATCCGGGAACAGAAAAAACCGAAATTCAGGAACCTTCCTCAAACACGAGAACATGTACTCCTGGATATTAATATATGTTCATGTCACTATTTAGAATAAACCACATATGTACACTTGTTCTTCCTTCTCCGGTTCCAGGGTCCGACACATCTCCTTTGCGGATTTCATAATCCTCTTTTGGGGATTTCATATCATCTACAACTCCTAATTTATGTAAAATGGTCTGGACATCAAAAGTGTAGAAAAAATTTGCTCTTTTAATCAATATGCTCAATTTGAATAATTGAGATACAGCAGGAAGAAAACCCTTCAGATAACCATAGTATATAGAACCCCAAGTGCATTAGAGGACACAAATGAATTATGTTAAATATTGAAGGAGCAGGACCAAATTTACTATTCTTAGGAGATTTCAACTTTCCAGCAATAGACTAGCTTCAAGAAGGTAGTACTTTCTTTGAAACAACAAGAGAAAAACTTTGTGCAGCTGGTAGACTTTTAAACACGAATTCTAGCACACCCTGGATTTAGTTTTGAGAAATCGGACAGAAAATATGATTACCTTGACCGTGATCATTCGATCATACTAGTTGAGACAATTTTTAATTCAAGGTTTATCAGTACCAAAGAGATGATTCTAGACTGGAGCAATGAGGACAAAGGTGGATTGTTTCTACTTAAAAGATGTACAATGGTCTTCAGAATGAGTAAGCTGTCAATAGAGGTGTCCTGGACACCAACCAAATAGCTGCAGGTACAGAAAAATTCATACCTTAGACCGCATAGACAAAATAACAAACCACAATGGATAAAAAGGCTGTAAAATGATAATACGTTAACAACTACATTACAACACTTTAAGCACTTGTTTAAAGATTGTTGGAACATTTTAAAGAAAACTTGGAAAGATTGTAAGCGTGCGGTTAGAAGTGAGAAGAGGAACTTTAAGAAAAACATTGCCCAGAAAGACAAGAAATACCTTGCAAGTTACATCAAGAGTAAAACTAAATCAAGAGCAAATGTCCGTCCCCTGAGTGCTGGTTCAGAGATTAAAAGTAATGATGAAGAAATGGCAATATATAGGACAGATCCTTTTCTAGTGCTTTCTCAAAAGAAGACCTGAACAATTTTATCTGTCCAACTCTCCCTGCCAATGATGTTCTTTTTACTAAGCTCAAAGTTTTGGATAAAATTGGCAAATTAAAACTAACAGTGCTCCTGGTCTTGATGGCATCTCTCCGGTGATTTTGAAAGATTATCCATTATCGTTAGTATATACAATAGGTCTTTGTACTCTGGTATTGTTCCTTCCAAATGAAAGGATGCCAATATCACCCCTCATAACAAGAAAGGATCAAAGAGTAAACCAGAGAACTACAGGCCCGTGTCTTTAGATATCTATGCCATGTAAGCTAGTGGAGTCAACAAGAGACAGAATTGTGGACCACTTGTTGACCAATCAAATACTCCCATCATGGATTTATGGCAAAAATCAGTAACCACCTTTAGAGAAGGTCACTAGTAATGCTGACATTGGGATCCCATGGATATATTTTACTGAGACTTTAGTAAGGCCTTTGATAAAGTGCTGAAGCTCTTCTGAATTGAAAAAATAGTATTGAAGGAAAAGCATTAAGTTGGATTATGCACTGTTGGTTAAAAGACAAACGTCAACAAACAGTCTTAAATGGATTCTTCTCAGGTTGGAGTGCAGTTGAGTCTGGGGTACCCTAGGGTTCTATGCTTGGCTCCTTGGTTTTTGTACTTTTTTCAATGATCTTCATGACTGAGTTGACCTTATAACAGACATAAACAAATTTGATGACAATGCCAAATGATACCAAACTTGGTCACCTTGTCAACTCAGAAACAGACAATGACCAGCTACAGAAATGTCTTAACAGACTATTAGAGTGGATGGAAACTTAGTGTATGGAGTTTGATGTGGACACATGCAAAGTAATGCACATTGCAAATGTGCGGAAGCATCAAAACATGCATCAGCATTAATAGTTAAAATATCTAGAGCATTTTTATTAAGAGATCGCCATTTATTTTTGAGATTATTCACAGTTTGTGCGCTACCATCTGGAATTAACCATTCTGGCACAGTGTCCTTGGAATGCACATGACATTTTCTTCAAGTTTATTTTCAAATTTACTAAAGTTCAATTATGTTGTATGTACAATAAAAGTCATTTATTAGTTTTACATAATAGTGATACAAAAATAATGCATTTTTAAATCCACATTTCACCAATTCAGTCAAGATATTTTACTAAAATAGCTTAAAGCTATAATATTCATATTAAAAAACTTTCTCTACAATATTGCCAATAAAATCGGAAAAATTGAAACTTCACTTATATAACAGGTCCTTTGAAGTCAGATACTAATGAATCCAGTTCCTTCAGTAATTCAGCTCAACTCACGTCCGCACTTCCACTCTCCATGAACGCCACATCAAAGTTATCTGTTGGTTTTATCTGCTGCATTGCCATTTCCTCAAATCTACCGGACGTAGATTTTCCAGATCTTATGGATTTTGCAGATTTACAAGCAGTGTTTCGGATCCATATCATTTTGATTTGGATCCGGATCCGGATCCGCGGATCCGCATCTGTGTTCATGGATCCGGATCCGGCTCCTGATACGGATCCGGATCCGGATCCGAGGTAACTTTTGATTCTGTGAATCGGATTTTCCCTATTAAATGTTATGCAAGGTTATAATTTATAAACTATATTTATTATTTTAAAAATGTCGTCATTAATTTACTATTACATAAATGTAAACATTAAATTATTAAAGATAATTTTGAAAAATTTTCGTCATGTAAAATGTAAAGAATACATTTACGAACCATTTTGATTTATTTATTCCATGGTTTTGGTTAATTTTTGATGCTACCCGGATCCATATCGGATCCGCATCCTGATACGGATCCGGATCCGGATCCGACCAAATGATACGGATCCGACCGGATCCGGATCTGGATCCGAAACACTGTTTACAAGATTTCCCGGTTTTGTAGGATTTTAGACTTGAAGTACAGAAGAGAGCACTCAACCTGGTCTCCAGTCAGAGGGTAAAAATTATGAGGAAAGACTAGCTGAACTTGGGTTGCAATTTATACAAACTAGGAGAACAAGAACAGATTTAATCCAGACATTTAAAATGATAATGTAGATAAAAACACTTACAATAGGAACAGATTTTGGAAGATTAACAAGGCATACTTCATACCATGGGAACTTGATACCAAGAAGGTCCAAGACCAACCTGATTTGTAACCGACCGAACAGAGTTTTAAGAACATGGAGCAAACTATTTACTGAAACCAGAGGCCAGAACTTAAAAAACCTTCACAACATTACCTGATGCAGTTGACATTGAATCTTTTTTATTATTAGCTGTACCAGGAATCATGAATGTTGACCTCACAATAGTGGTTGTCTGTTTGTTTGTATCATGATTTTGAGGACTAACCAGAAATCTCTTAAATTCCTACCTGGAATCCTGGAGATAATGCACCAAGTAACCCAAGTAACCTAAGGAGATTTCTGGACACTATCAAGGTTTAAAGGTATTGTTAAAATTGAGTGTTAACCTCTTTGTATTGAGAGTTACTTGTGTGTAACTCACAGTTCCTTGAAATTAAGCACAGGGCTCCTTGATGAGAAGTGAGTAGTGACTTAAGAAATTAATCAATATAGAGGTCAAGAAAAAACCATATTACCTTACTTAAAATAGATCTTGTTGAAATTTTATGCGATTCTTTTTTCTAACAAAATTTTTTTCAATGTACAAAAATGCAGTATATAATTTTACCTGATTAGAAATCTGCGTTTTCTGGATAAATTGAGAAATCTGATGAATACTTTCAGGTGATGATCCAACTACAGCTCTAGGGGTAAACTCAGACTTCCCTAAAAATGTTAGTGAGAACCATAAATCTCAGGAATGAAAATCATATTTGTTCTTACTTTTACTTAAAAATTGTTTTCTAAGATAAGGTAATTTGCAAAGGATTTATCTTTTATGCTAAAGGCAAATTACTATTAATATACATCAAAGGCATATTTTCTTTTAAAATTTTATTGAAGATTATCCCAAAAAATTTTAACAAATAAAATCCACAAAACATTCTTCCATGGAGTGGCAGACATGAAAAATTGGACCCTTTGAAAAAAATTGATACTAATTACAATCTGTGCTACTTATTAAACTTAAAGAAACTTGAAGAATATCCACATAAACAAGGACAAACCAGAAAAAATATATACATTATATTTATAATATTAATAGAAAAATTTCACCTATCCGTGGTGAATCACAGGCACCCAGCTGACTGAAAATAAACAAATTAGATAAAGATTTGAAAAAGGGGGGGGGCCACAAAACGTATTACTCTCCGGAAAATTTAAACAGTGTAATATACATAATTCTGAGTTTGCATGCAAAAAATCAGCCTCCTACGACAATTCTAAGTTATGTTTAACCACTGTTTAAATTTTCCGGAGAGTAATACGTTTTGTGGCCCCCCCCCTTTGACAAAGGGAAAATTAATGAAAACTTGTTTAACAAAATAATCAAGAAATATCGAAAATAAAAGGTTATAAAATGAGGTTCTCAATCTCAACAATGATTTTTATGAAAATTTATATTCTTGTGATTTTTACATTTTTTTAATTTTTTTAATCGATTTTGATGGTTATTATATCGTTAGAACTGACGAGGGTCAACCCAGACCGAAATATATTTTAAATAAATGTGGAAATAACATCTACTTTTTTACTCTACAGAGGTTTGGTCCATCACCATCACTGAATTTTAAATCAAATTGAAAATACCCTAGTTTTACTTAGAATGTTGTGAGCAGTCTTAAACCATTCATCACTAAAGGGACCTGAACAGACCCCTGACGAACTCACAACCATACCTAGGAAGTTTGAATCCAACTTTCTTAGCAGGAGAAGGGGTGTTAGAACTGGTCTTAACAAGAATACCAGACAGTGAGGAAGTAGGAGGAAGAACGATACAAGACTGACGTAAGACACCAGATTCTGGTAATCCAGCTCTACCAGAAGGTATCCTTGCATTAGATTTTGCATGACCTTGTAGCAGATCGATACTGCAGGTTTCAGATGGCGACTGCGACATTGCTGTGGAGATAACATCTTCCAGGATTAATGAGGCGATGGTAGGAGGGATCTGAATAAAAAGAAATCAACAAGTAAAGAGTGGTTCATATAACATATTTGTGTCAGTCTTGCTAGAGACCTTTATTTGACCTTTCTAATTAATTAATATTTTATTGCATTTGAAGATTAAGAAAAAATTTAAACCATGTTTTTTTTAAATAAGGTTGAAAATGATTATGAAATTATTCTACATTAACTTTATAGTATTATTACCAGTTAATTGTGCATTTACTGAGCGCTAGGCATGCATGATTAGTGATTAAAATAATATCAGATGAGTTCAGACTTCTAGGTCTTAGCCTTGTTCTTATTAATATTGAGACTTTTCAGTATTTATGGCTGTAGCAGTGATCTCTATGACGCACTTGTTTAAAGAAAAACTTCTAATCAAAATAAGTTAATGAAATTTGTCAGTTAACGAAGATAAATCTGCGATTCCTTACTTAAGACATTAATGTGTTAAATAAAATATGTAATACATAACACATATATGAAACACAAATATGCAAGACAATGTCCAAAATATCATATTTATAAGAGCTGCAGCAAAAGAAATAATCTCGAAGTGCACAGAACAAATATTTTTTTGCTTTACTGACAAGATAAAATGATCTAGTACAGGGTTAACCACAATCCTTTGTAGATAACCCCTACTGTTAAAACTATCTAACTATTTAACCCGAGCTGGACACTCTTATATTGAATACCCTAAATATATTTAGCTTAATCTCAATATCCACTGTGGACACTCTTGATTTTCTGCTTAACCCTCTCTTTTGGATATCCTTGCTGGGTTCCGACCAATGAGAATTCATCATTGATTACACGCAAAATTTACCGGCCCTTGATTGGCAAACGATTCTGTGATTGGTTGAATTTTAAACACTTTTCAGAATAAAGATAAAGTTATCTGCAGATTAACAAAAGGACTCGATATCCACAATACATGAGTTTTCCGCTCTGTATTGCCATCTTTTCTAGTAACAGTAACTCATTATCTAAACCTAGTTTAAGAACCTCTATTCAAAAAGTACCATTTGTAGTGAATAAAAACATAACTTACCTCATTGTTTTGAGGAACAGAGCTGACACTGCTGAAATATTTTACATTAGAAACCACATTATAACCAATGCTTAAAAGATATTTAAGTTCATAATCCTTATACATTATCCAAAAACAACTAGTAAAAGCCAAAAGAAATGTGCTTGTAAAATACCAATCTTAATTGATTAACTTAGCTGACTGAAGCCCCTCCGACCTCTTGATGGTCACAAAAAATTAAGTAAAACTTTAAAGAAAACTGAAATAATTTCGGAAATATTATTCGAGGAGAAAGGAATGTAATGTATTTCAAAATTAGATAATCGGATCTAACAGAATTCAAAGTTCGAAAACCCTAAGGTTTACGACCATAAGTTGCAAAGATATAGGGATTAGAGAAATAGAGTTAGTGGCAAAGACTTAATTCCTTTTCAAAAAATATTTGAACTAAATCTAAATCCAGGTACGTCTTTCCGCATGAAAGTATAATTGAACCAAGATTATAATGAGTACTGATTAGGGATTCCATAATCTATGCCCAGCCATGTTTGTTGTTCACAATTATTAGTTTTCGGTATCAATATTAAGAATTAATTTAGGAAATTTTTACCTTAGACATAATAGACGTTAAGACTACTAGAATAAAAATCAGTCATTTGGAGGATCTTTTTTACCTTCTCTTTCTCAAAAATTAAAACGTTTTTAAGTTATTAAAAATAAGAGGGATCTTTCTCCCAGAAAAAAATATTAAAGTTAGCAACTTGTCAGACGGGAGAGGGGGCGTTTGAACCCCCCCCCCCGTCTTGTTTTCTGTTCTAACACTTATTTTTGAAACTCAACGTGAAAATTTGTGACTTTTAATGAATAGAAATTAAAAGGATTGTTGTACATTTTTTATGCATAGGGTAGGGTAAAGGGCGGTAGAAAGTCCAGTCGGTGAAAAAAATCTAAGAAGCGTGCAATTTTTTAATTAATATTTTTAAAAATCTAGCAGGTTTTAATGCAATCAGCGACTTATTACCTCCTTGTGACATGACAAGGGATAGAAGGAGGTTTATCATCAACCGCCTGGTTTTCATCAGTCTCATCTTTCATAATCTCATCTTCAATCTTTTCTTTGGTATCTTTCAGCTCATCTGTACCATTAAAAGCTTCTGAATAAAGGTTACGTAAGGATAGGGACAAGGTTTCATCTAGGACTCGACTGTTGACCATTGTACGCTATATTGTACGTACACCCAATGCACCCAAAAAACGCTACTCGCCATTAATAAACATTCCGACACATAAAATCTGCCAATAGTATCACAGTCCACAAATAAAATCTTAGTCCTTATAATTAGTAACTAAAACTATAATTATCTTAGTCTATTAAATCCGACACTAAGTGGTCTCTCAACTACCACAAAATCTCTAGAAGAAACCCTGGACAGGGGGATTGTGTACTCCTTCTACAGTACAGTACTAGTTATCTTGAGAACCAGTATGAAAAAACAAACTTTTTGAAACATACTAAAGCTAGGATATAGTGTTTCTAGGGTGGAAATTTTCATATCTGCAGTTAAGTTACCCTCCATAAAGCATGTACCAGGGTTGGGAAAAAACCGGGTTTTTTATACTAAAAACAGCCCAGTGGGTTTCTTGGGTTTTTTGTGTGTGTGGCTTTTTTGGGTCTTTTTAGTAGAAGTATTTAAAATCTTCTAAAATGCATACCAATTCACAAAATAAGACTAATTAAACAAGATATAAAAACTAATAATATTGTTGTAATTTAGACTATTGTAATCATATATATAAAGACTCTTCAAATACAATAATATCACCTCCCTTTTTCATAGGGGGGCATCACAGGGGAAATACTGCAATTTCTTTAAAATTATATTTCTATGAATTTCAGACTTGTCCTATTTTATCACGCGAGATTCACATTTCTGATTGAGGGTGGGGCTTCTCAGATTAATCGGTAGATATTTATATGCTCAAAAGGAAAACCACTGTTAAATACCAAAAAACTTCATCCCATTCACAGTGTTTCGGATCCGGATCCGGATCCGACCAAATGATACGGATCCGACCGGATCCGGATCTGGATCCGAAACACTGTTTACAAGATTTCCCGGTTTTGTAGGATTTTAGACTTGAAGTACAGAAGAGAGCACTCAACCTGGTCTCCAGTCAGAGGGTAAAAATTATGAGGAAAGACTAGCTGAACTTGGGTTGCAATTTATACAAACTAGGAGAACAAGAACAGATTTAATCCAGACATTTAAAATGATAATGTAGATAAAAACACTTACAATAGGAACAGATTTTGGAAGATTAACAAGGCATACTTCATACCATGGGAACTTGATACCAAGAAGGTCCAAGACCAACCTGATTTGTAACCGACCGAACAGAGTTTTAAGAACATGGAGCAAACTATTTACTGAAACCAGAGGCCAGAACTTAAAAAACCTTCACAACATTACCTGATGCAGTTGACATTGAATCTTTTTTATTATTAGCTGTACCAGGAATCATGAATGTTGACCTCACAATAGTGGTTGTCTGTTTGTTTGTATCATGATTTTGAGGACTAACCAGAAATCTCTTAAATTCCTACCTGGAATCCTGGAGATAATGCACCAAGTAACCCAAGTAACCTAAGGAGATTTCTGGACACTATCAAGGTTTAAAGGTATTGTTAAAATTGAGTGTTAACCTCTTTGTATTGAGAGTTACTTGTGTGTAACTCACAGTTCCTTGAAATTAAGCACAGGGCTCCTTGATGAGAAGTGAGTAGTGACTTAAGAAATTAATCAATATAGAGGTCAAGAAAAAACCATATTACCTTACTTAAAATAGATCTTGTTGAAATTTTATGCGATTCTTTTTTCTAACAAAATTTTTTTCAATGTACAAAAATGCAGTATATAATTTTACCTGATTAGAAATCTGCGTTTTCTGGATAAATTGAGAAATCTGATGAATACTTTCAGGTGATGATCCAACTACAGCTCTAGGGGTAAACTCAGACTTCCCTAAAAATGTTAGTGAGAACCATAAATCTCAGGAATGAAAATCATATTTGTTCTTACTTTTACTTAAAAATTGTTTTCTAAGATAAGGTAATTTGCAAAGGATTTATCTTTTATGCTAAAGGCAAATTACTATTAATATACATCAAAGGCATATTTTCTTTTAAAATTTTATTGAAGATTATCCCAAAAAATTTTAACAAATAAAATCCACAAAACATTCTTCCATGGAGTGGCAGACATGAAAAATTGGACCCTTTGAAAAAAATTGATACTAATTACAATCTGTGCTACTTATTAAACTTAAAGAAACTTGAAGAATATCCACATAAACAAGGACAAACCAGAAAAAATATATACATTATATTTATAATATTAATAGAAAAATTTCACCTATCCGTGGTGAATCACAGGCACCCAGCTGACTGAAAATAAACAAATTAGATAAAGATTTGAAAAAGGGGGGGGGCCACAAAACGTATTACTCTCCGGAAAATTTAAACAGTATAAATAAATCAAAATGGTTCGTAAATGTATTATTTACATTTTACATGACGAAAATTTTTCAAAATTATCTTTAATAATTTAATGTTTACATTTATATAATAGTAAATTAATGACGACATTTTTAAAATAATAAATATAGTTTATAAATTATAACCTTGCATAACATTTAATAGGGAAAATCCGATTCACAGAATCAAAAGTTACCCCGGATCCGATCCGGATCCGTATCAAGAGCCGGATCCGGATCCATGAACACGGATGCGGATCCGCGGATCCGGATCCGGATCCGGATCCAAATCAAAATGATATGGATCCGAAACACTGCATTCACACATAAAAAAACTTGTTCATTCGAAACAAATTTTGAAAACTCTGATACTCCCTAAAAATCATTACAGTTGATAAAAGACCTTATTAAGTTTATAATTATAAAAGGGTAGAAAAAGCAATAATTAAAAATTCTAAAAACCAATAAAACCCAAAAAAGCCCAAAGTGGGTTTTATTGGTTTTTTTTGGGCCGAGTTTTTATGCCAACCATGACAATTTACAACGATCCCATCTGAAATTCTCCCACTTAAAGGGAGTGTTCGCGAAAAATGAAAGGGGTATAGGATTAATGCGATAAAAGAGCGCCTTTGATCGCTACTAATCTTACATCTATCTGTTGCGTCTATAAGGAGAAAATTGTTAATAACTACTAAAACCGAAGAACGTAGTGTCCATACAAATTCAGTGAGATGCAACCACTCTGATCGTAAACAAATCAATTTAATTCCAAACAAATCATTTAGATATTACAAACAATAGTCATCGATTATTTTTCGTCGCATTCGTAAATAGTTGATATTTCGTAATATTTTGTATTTTTCATGATCTGAGAGCTACCTTTGAAAGCATTTTTTCCTGTTTTGAGGATTTTATAATGAAGACGACATTTTCATATTTTCCAGGAATGTTCGAAAAGCCAGCGCCAGCGAAAATTATTTAAAAAAAAAACAAAATCAAAAATATAATGAAATATTAACTACGAATGCGTCGAAAAATAATCGATGACTACTGTTTGTGACATCTGAATTATTTGTTTGGAATCAAATTGATTTGTTTACGATCCGAGTTGAATTTTGCATCTTTCCGAATTTGTATGGACACTACGTTCTTCGGTATTAGTCGTTTTTAACAAGATTAGTAGCGATCAAAGGCACTTTTTTATCGCATTAATCCTATACCCCCTTTCATTTTTCGCAAATACTCCCTTTAAGTGAAGCAGACAAAAAAAATGAACTGCAAATCATTTTAATTAAGACGCCACCATTGATAATTTTGTGAATAATAACCCCTATCCCAATTCCCTAACTTCTTCCCAGCCTCATGAGACAACATTCTAGACGAATCAAAAAGACTCACCTGTAGCCTCCAGGAGGTCTTCAACATTTTTGTGTATGCCTTTATGTGCCTGCACTTCCATGACATCACCTTCAAGCTCAGTGTTAGAAGACATTAAGTTTTCTTCTAGATAAGAAACGCAATACAAATTTTTTATTTGTTTTGTTCGTTTGTATTAGGTTATCGTCAAAATCGATGTGCCTTGTGGCTTTCCTTCTCAAGTCAAATATAACCAATTATTGAAGTATACTATGGCCGGTTAAGAACTTCAACATTCCCAAATAAAATTCAAAGTTCAATAAAAAAACTAGTTGAAGCTTCTTTAGGATAAAAAATTTTACAGCAAGATATCATTGTAAAGCCAAAAGGAGGCGAGAAGCATACAGATTACAGAAAAATAGGCGACACAGACTTTATGGGCTTCAGATTGTGAAACTTTCAAGCCCTAATGATAAATTCAAAGATTTCATGATAGCAAATCAAATGTATTATTTATAATCCCTAGTCCCTACCCCTCACGACAGTAACACACCTTTTAACAAAATTGCTTAAGGTTCTTCCCTCACGACAGTCACACACCTTTTAACAAAATTACTTAAGATTCTTATATGCTTCAAAAACATTAACACATTAACTTATTTCAAGAGTCCAGATTAGTAAGAGTGTTTACCTTAGCGTGATGCTCTTTTTAATATCTGGCAACAAAATATCAATCATATCATTTTTGCATCTAAAAAATCACTGATCTGAACAGATTAAAAAAAACAGTCTCTTGTTAAGAAGCTTTACAGCTCACAAGAAAAACATCGACCAACAAAATTAGTCATAAATTTACTGGCATAGATTGTAGCTGGATTAGAATCCTTAAGGTACCGAAACAAAATCAAGACTATAACAAAAAAATCAAAAAAACACATTTAAATTCTGAAAACCAGATGATACTGGTTTAGAATTCTTCTACATCAAAGGAGATGACGGACATCTTCTCTTTGGCGATCCATGGGATGTAAACAGTGACATCTCTGTTGATGTGAAGATCTGCTGACGTCTTCCATGGTCCTGCTTGTCCCAGAAACTTTTCAACTATTTCAGTACGAGGCTCATCTGTCATATTAGGACAGACAAAATCGGAAATTCTATGGATGACTGCAAAACATGAAAATATAGACCTCAGAACCCCTTCATTCAATCCTTTTTTTCTTATCTCATGTCCAGGCATACTTCTTGGTGGGTCCTCTTGACCATGGTTATTTTGGACAAGATAATTGCTAAAGATTACTTTGACCTCCCTCTGAACAGCGGCGTAGCGGAAATGAGGATAGAAAATCTGAGGAATAGAACTTGTGTTCAATGTTTTAAGAGCTCCTGCTGCACAACGTGCCAGAAAACTGAAATTTTTAACGTTTTACAAGAATCACAGCATGGGAGTAAAAATTACTTAAAATAAAAAATGACTCGGCTAAATTGATTCTTTAAATGATTAGTGCAAGCTGAAATGATTTTCACAGAAAATCTCCCATATTTACTCCTTTGGCTGATGTTAGAATAAATAACTATCCCTTTGGGATTAATGGTAATATTCCCTTGACATTAATAAACATGGGGCTGAATTTAATGAATTGTAGAGAAGTTGCTAATCTACTTACTACCAGATTAAATACTTCTCAGTCACTTGCTTAAATCCAAAATCAGCAATTCATAGTTTAAGATTTTGAACACTCTAATTTAAGTTTAGTTGATTAGAGAATTTTTTTCACACCAATGAAAGCGCTTAAAATATTGGATTTATCAATCTAAATTGGCTAAAATAGAACTTGGCTCTTATCCACTAGGATAGTCCAAAAGTTCAGAACAACTTTCAACTTGAAACAGATGGTCCATAAAAGATACGTTGTTAATTCGTCTAAACATAGTTCAACAAGTTCTCGCGGTTCCATTAAATCCGGTCCATGTGGAGTTCAAAATAATCAAATACTTACGTGTAAAACTCTAAATCTGGCTTGACCCCAGCAGAAGTGTACTCAACTCCAGTAGCGAGAAGATTGTTGAATGGATTGGTAGGATCCAGGAGTAAAGGTCTCTGCGTCATCGTACCAGATGGTATTTCATTCTCAGAATAGTTCTTGTCGAACCAGACGAAGAGTTTACGAATGTCGGCAAGCTCTTCAAAAAACCTAAGAAGGAACCAAAATAAAATTTCTGAAGGTTTTGATTTCATACATCAATCTTTCATATAATGAACCAAACATTTAATACTTTGTACAAATTTTTTTTACAAATCACAAAAATAAATTAAGTTAAGTTAAGTTAACGAATCAAAATTGCGCAATGATTAATTGATAGTCGTAGGGAGGGTCATCTTTGAATATAAATTTTAAACGTTTTAATACAAAAACGTTAATTCCCTGCTAACTCGATCAAAAGTTTTCACATTTTAGTATGTAATGGCTAACGCATAATGGCACTGTTTCAGACAAAGGTACTGTACCTTTGCGCTCGAATTCTGAACTAAAAAGGCTTTTTAAATCCAGCCACAGTTGTCTTTGATAAGTAAGACTAATACCAATCCTTGATCAGTGAAATCTATCATTTCCGGGGGGGGGGGACTTTGTGCTGAGCCCCCTCCCTCACCCAAAGACAGAAAACTATATTTTATGCCCCCCCCCTGGAAAAATTCCTGCATAGCCCTTTCTCGGCTTTCTCACCTTTTTAAGCAGTTGCTCATGGACGGTTCCACATTGTTGTTCTCCTCCAGGTTAGCGCAGTGGACAGCTAGAGTCTCAATTATCAGGCTCCTACCGTAAACATATTCATGGTACAGCAGACCCTGGTTCCAGAACTTGGCAAGCCTAAATATTTCAGGATTAAAGGGACTGGAAACGTAATTTGGTTTGCTAGATTTATAATGCTACCCTTTAACCCTTCGTCTGATCAATAAATCTTTTCGACCTGAAAATATTGACCTTTTCATTGTGGTTCTCTTCAAACAATGGAGGAATTTGTCAGACTGGAAAAAAGACAATATCTTACATTATTCCAACAAGATGAAGTGGAAAAGGGTATTTGTAATTGTAAATCGGACATGCCCTTCTTAGAGGTTGACTTGAAATTACAATGACATGACAATTCTTCTAGAATCGCAACATTTAAAATCAGTGAAACAAAGGAGGACAACCTGTCACAGCCTTGGATGGTTAAAATTTAGACAATATTTGTTCAAATAAGTAAAATATCTCAATTTAAGTCAAAGGAATTCTCGAAATAATGCAGATAAATAGACTTCATTTGGAAAATATCAAGTCAAAGAAAACCAAAGTTACAAGTTGGAAAATGAAAACAATCTTATTTTTAAAATAATTTTTTTTTTTTTGAGAGCTACGTCACGTAAAAAAATCCGATTAATAGGATTATGAAGACAAAAATTATGAAGTGACTTACTTAATTCTTAAATACACGAGATTAAGACTAAGATCCCAGGGGTTCATATATATATATATTGGCACTGGGAAGACTTCACTTTGTGGTAGAACTTAAGGATCAAGATCGTGTTTGTGGCAGGTTTTAGATACTATTTTAGCTATTTGGTTCATCCCGTTAAAGTCCATAGCTAACTTTACCTGGCAAAATCATGCGCAAACTTGGACTGACCCTTCAGGAAAGTGAGAGAGGACTCAGCGAGCTCAGCAGACAACTGGTTCGCAAGACTAGGATTATTCTTTCCTTCAGTCCGGATGTACTTCAGTGTTTCCTGTAGAATGAGAAAATTTAAAAATGGAAGTTTTAAAAATTAATTCAGAGAAATGAAATCAAACAAGATTAAAATTTAGTAGTTTTAAAATATATTTTGTTTCTTGGGAAAATCCTGCAGTTTTACGTATTACATCCTAAAATAAATCATAGTACACCAATATGAATAATTATGCAATCCTTAAGCTTGTTAAATTTTTTTTTCAATTTTATTAAAAATATTTCTTTTAAATTAACCATTTTTGGTTGAAATATAATGCCAATATAATATAAACTGTGGAATTTTTGAATGATTGAGGATCGATACTTCAAACTAAAACAGACAATTCCGAAACATTTTCTAACAAACAAAATGCACCGTGTCTACAACATGTGTAGAAATTAAGAATTTATAAAATCTCATTCCTTAAGCTGCGAGTATTCAACATTCTCGGGGTCTTTGGACATGTTGACAGCCGGCAGAATATCCAGGCTTATCTAAACATATATCCAGGCTTATCTAAACATATATCCAGGCTTATCTAAACATATATCCAGGCTTATCTAAACATATATCCAGGCTTATCTAAACATATATCCAGGCTTATCTAAACATATATCCAGGCTTATCTAAACATATATCCAGGCTTATCTAAACATATATCCAGGCTTATCTAAACATATATCCAGGCTTATCTAAACATATATCCAGGCTTATCTATACATAAATCCAGGCTTATATAAACATATATCCAGGCTTATCTAAACATACATCCAGACTTATCTAAACATACATCTAGGCTTATCTAAACATACATCCAGGCTTATCTGACAAATAATCAGGCTTATTTAAACATTTATCCAGGCTTATCTAAACATATATCCAGGCTTATTTAAACATAGCCAGGCTTATCTAACAAATATTCAGGCTTATCTAGGCTTATCTAACAAATATTCAGGCTTATCTAAACATGTATCCAGGCTTATCTAATGTATCCAGACTTCTCATATTTAAGCGCATCTAAACCTGTATCCATTATCCAAGCTTATCTTAACATATCTAAGCATATATCCTGACTTATCTAAGCATACATCCTGACTTAATTAAGCATGTATCCAGACTTATCAATATCAGACTTATCTCAGCATAAGCTATTATTCTGGAATTTAAGAACTTAAATAAAATTAATTTAGATTGACGTATCCTACTCACAATAGTGTTATTGTACCTTAATTTCATCTAAAATGTAAGATTCTTCCGTCAGTCTTTTGTTTTAGATAAGCGACTTAGGGATTTATGTAGCCACAACATTTAAAGAAAATATGGACCTATAAAAATTATGAGATCTTCCTCATTTATCTCAAATAAAGAATAAAAACAATTAATTATGCATTTGACAAAAAAGGCAATTTTTAAACCAGCTTTTAACTTACCTCTCCAACCTTGACTTTCAATGTTTTAGAAGTGGTCTCCATCTGCGGGTGCTCTAGTGCACCATTCAGCACCCTCTTCCACTCTTCCAGGATACCAGACAACTAGCAAAAACAAATATTAGAATATAGTAATTTCTGGATACAAGACAACTAACAAATATCAGAATATTTGAACTCCAGGATACCAGACATTTTTCGCGAATTTTTATTTTTCGCGACCATTTCGCCTCGTTTTCACATTTCTTTCACTCGGGAAAAATGCGAAAATTTTCCCTTCATTCTGTTTCGCAAAAAAAATAATGCGAAAATTTCGCGAAAATTAAATTAAATTTATGTTTTCAACCATAAAAACTTAAAAGGGGAGGCGTGGGATAGTCCCTTTAAACTAAATGATAGTCCCTTTAAACTAAATGGTAGTCCCTTTAAACTAAATGACAGTCCCTTTAAACTAAATGACAGTCCCTTTAAACTAAATGACAGTCCCTTTACACTAAATGACAGTCCCTTTACACTAAATGACAGTCCCTTTAAATTAAATGACAGTTCCTTTAAATTAAATGATAGTCCCTTTAAATTAAATGACAGTCCCTTCAAATTAAATGACAGACCCTTTGAATTAAATGACAGTCCCTTAAATTAAATGATAGTCCCTTTAAATTAAATGATAGTCCCTTTAAATTGAATGATCCTTTAAATTGAATGATAGTCCCTTTAAATTGAATGATAGTCCCTTTAAATTGAATGATAGTCCCTTTAAATTGAATGATAGTCCCTTTAAATTGNATTTAAATTTAATGAAAGTCCCTTTAAATTTAAAAAGTTTTTATAAATAACAAATTTAGAATAATACATACTTTAGGAATGAAGTACAAAAAGCATATAAGCGTACTCTCTACCAAAATAAAGTTGCACAAAACCGATATTATGAAAAATATAAATAAAACATGAAATTCCAAAAAAAATGCTTTACCTTTGAATCGGTTTTATCCTTGATCTCCATATTGATGAACACAACCGCATCAAGGTCTGCCTAGAGACAGAGTGTCAAAATAATCATGGAACAAACAAAACATCAGGGATACGGTCAAATACAGGGTGTCTAGCTGTAAAGAATTCCACAATTGTAGTTTACTTGTCATGTACAACAGATTGAATTGATTATTTGAGAGTTTTCATTATCTTGGATTAATTATAGCAGGTGTATAGGAAGAAGTATCTGCTGTAGAGGGTACATGTACTGTTTATGTACAGGAACAAATATCTACTGAATAGGGTACATGTACTGGACATGTATACAGGAAGAATATCTACTGAATAGGGTACATGTACTGAACATGGTATACAGGAAGAATATCTACTGAATAGGGTACATGTACTGAACATTGTATACAGGAAGAATATCTACTGAATAGGGTACATGCACTGAACATGGTATACAGGAACAAATATCTACTGAATAGGGTACATGTACTGGACATGTTTACAGGAAGAATATCTACTGAGTAGGGTACATGTACTTAACATGGTATACAGGAGGAATATCTACTGAATAGGGTACATGTACTGGACATGGTATACATGAAGAATATCTACTGAATAGGGTACATGTACTGAACATGGTATACAGGAAGAATATCTACTGAATAGGGTACATGTACTGAACATGGTATACAGGAACAAATATCTACTGAATATGGCACATGTACTGGACATGTATACAGGAAGAATATCTACTGAGTAGGGTACATGTACTGAACATGGCATACAGGAAGAATATCTACTGAATAGGGTACATGTACTGGACATGTTATACATGAAGAATATCTACTGAATAGGGTACATGTACTGGACATGTATACAGGAAGAATATCTACTGAATAGGGTACATGTACTGGACATGGTATACATGAAGAATAGCTACTGAATAGGGTACATGTACTGAACATAGTATACAGGAAGAATATCTACTGAATAGGGTACATGTACTGAACATGGTATACAGGAACAAATATCTACTGAATAGGGTGCATGTACTGGACATGTATACAGGAAGAATATCTACTGAATAGGGTACATGTACTGAACATGGTATACAGGAAGAATATCTACTGAATAGGGTACATGTACTGAACATGGTTTACAGGCAGAATATCTACTGTAGAAGATACAAGTACTGAACATGTATACAGAAAGAATATCTACTGTAGAGGGTAGATGTACTGCATTGTACTGTGTATGTACAGGAAGAATATCGAGGGTACATGTACACTGTCTATGTACATGAGAACTATTTTTTGTAGAAGATATATGTACTGTTATGTAAAGGAGGAAATCTACGGACATCGCATGTACTGTATAGGTACAGGAACTAGGAATCTCTAATGCAGAGATTACATGTGCTGTACATGTACAGGAAGAATTTTTACTGTCGAGGATACGTGTACAAAAAAGTCAAACCGATTTATATGAGTGAGTGAATCAAAAAATAATGTTTTTTAAGACTTTGAAAGGTTCCAAAACAATTTCAGAAGTTTAAAGTTAAGAAGTTTTGAAATAAGCTTTCCTTACAATATACCAAATTTTGTATTATGTAAAAATAGTAAAAACGAACCAAACCAGTGTTAAAATTGATCTTATTTCGACTCATTCCTTATATTTTCTCTAAGGATAAAAATATTGCATGTTAAAAAAGGCAAACTTTAACATAACAGTTTTTAAATGTTAGAAGATCACAATTTGTATGCGATGCCTTCTGTCTTTAAAAAAAAAACTAAACGAACCGTGTTATTTTTCATTACTTACCTTCACAGATGTGGAGGTCTTCTTTCCAAACCCGCCTACAATCCTAACAAAGAACATTGTATATAAAAACCATTTTACTATTTAATTTTTATGGCAACATTAAAATTATTTAGGGGCGTACCTAATATTTCTAGACATCTCTGGGATATCGTTATTTTCAGATAGGTTCCGTATTTGCTTAATATTAGTCAAACGCCATATTACATACACAAGTTTTTGTATAACGGACACATTTTCATATTAATTTCTTGAGATAGAACTATAATTGGTCGCGATCAACTGCTAAAATACTGTACCAGCTATACCTCTTTCATTTTACCTTTACAGTCTCTTTAAAGGGACTGTAAGGGTAATCTTAAGTGACCCTCTGCGCAAATAAAGCAATTCCCAATTCACAACGGTACCTGTTGACCAAATTTTTAAGCCATATGAATTATTAACCTTAAGACATTTTCAAATTCGTTAAAATTATTGATCAGATAAAGGTTTCAAGGAGTTACCGTTAGGAATCGACCATATCTATCTTTGTATGAAGAGCAATTTAAGTTGAAATAAGGACAGGGGATAAAGTCTATTTAGTCTTCGAGTCTACGTGACATATTCAGACACCTTAGCAACTGGTTTGCAAGTCTTAAATTCAGGATAGGACCGACTTAGGCAATGTTCAACAAAACTGGTTCTATAGGAGTCCCGTCCCATAAAGGTCACAGCATAACGTTCTTCTAGATTAAAAAAAAAATTAACCTGCATCGGTTAATGTCCCCCTGAGCTTGAAGAACCCTGAATATTCTGTTTGCTACTTCCAGAGCTTCCTTAAAATAAAAAGT